TCAAACGTTGGAAACCCTGGCTGATTTTTTTTGCTGTACCGAATCCTGCCAATGGGCCAATGCTGGCTGCTCCATCATCAACAATGCCTTGCAGACCTGCCTGACTCAGAAATACACAACCATCCCGAAAGAGACATCAAGTTTCTCCCCCCCACCCCGTCTCATAGTTCACACACGCCATATAAATGGGTCACCAGCAGTAATTGCGTTCTGTGGAAATGATTGTGTCTTTTAAATTTTGATGATGGGCAGCTTCACATTTAATAAATTTAATATCAATTGCCGAATATATATAACAATAAAGTAATCTTTGTATTTGATAGAGGGTCTCTTCACATTGTCAAGATGTCTTAAAGCACTTCTCATGAATTATTGTGAAGCGTAATGACTTTATTTGTAGGCGAATGTGGCAGTGAATTTTGCACACAATGTCCCACAAACAATGACTTATTGTAGCTGAATGATCGGATGGGTATGAATGGACAACAAATATTTTTTTAAGTGAATAATTAAGACATCAGTGTTGATAGTGGAATAACAACTGAAAAGATCCCCAGCATGTTTCACTATTATTATTAGAAACCAATGAATTCATCCCATCACATTAAGCACCCTTGAAGAACTTGAGGGGCACAAGCCCATTAAGAGGAAGGAAAGGTAAGGTTGCTTATATAATTGTTGTGCTAAATTGAAATCTATGAGATGTATTTTTCTATGATTATCAGAGCTCTTTATCCTTGTGCTTTCCTTCTATTGATCTGTGCGTCTGGGAGTCTTGGGCTTTTGTCTTTCCTAATTGCACTTATAATCCTCTTTTGATTAACAAAATATTCCAAGTCTTATTTCCTTGCCGTGTATTTGTTCCAGGGCTTCCTCCATGATCCATATTCTCAATTGGGATTGTTTAGTCCAATTAAAATATTTATATATTTAAAATATTTACATTTATCTGAAATAATTCAAGGAGCCAACTGCACATGCTTATTATGATCCCTGCTGGATTTTAAACACTTAATACTTACACAGAAATACAATTACTGCCAATTCGCATTTATTAAGGCTGAGAAACCTGTAATGTTTACAGAAGCAAGCCATTGTGTCCACTAATGCCAGCTCCCCCACTGGAGCTATCATTTCTTATCCCGTTCTCCCACTCATTCCCCATACCCTTTGATATTTGTCCTCAATTATTTATCCAATTTCCTTTTAAATACTGTTACAGACTCGATATCAATGGCCATTTGAGATAAGGTATTCTATATTCTAACCAAAATCAATGTAAAAACAAACTTCTTTTAACTTTTTTTTGATCCTCGATTTGTTTCTCCTTGTTACTGACTCGTCACTCAGTGGAAATTAGTCTGTTTGTTTAGAATCATCAACTTCAGTACAGGAGATGGCCTCAGTCCATCGTGCCTGTGCTGTGCTCATTTCCCCCATTTCATAAGTGAAGAGAATGATCCTATGTATTTGAAATTCTGCGGTATCTAAACCATGTCTGACTAAAAGGCCATGTCCCATCCTACATTGGATGGAGACCACTGTCTTAGCAACCAGATGAATTTGGGGAAAATTAACTTACAAACTGCTGACATAGTTTAATTAAAATTCTACATTGACCAGGCATTACCCCTTGGAGAGGCATGTGATTGTATTAGAATGAAATCACTGCGTCGATTTTTATAGAAACACAGATGGCACAAATTCATTTAAAGGCAGTTATTATATTTAATCTTAATTTAAACATATGAAGGTTTCAATGCGGAATGATTTTCAATTACCAGTGCGTTATTCATAAGATACCTTCAAAACAAACTGAATTATTGACAGTGGCATGAATCATCGTAACACATCCTTCCAGGAACACATTGTTTATGTATAAGGTTTTTTAAATAGAAAGTAACATTTGTATACTTATTTAATTTAAATATTAGATGCATTTGAACAGAAAAATTGCAATTTGATATCTGGTTAGGAAGCAAATGCAAAATAAAGACTTTAGTGTACACCTTTATGTCAATATTGCATACATTTAAACTCTTTGTTTTGTATTTTCTTTGCAGGTTAACATGTTGCTTTAGGAAGTGCTGAAATGCATGTTCCCTTGTGGGATACCCCCACTGAGTGAGTTTCCTCCCCTCATATTAAGAAGCATTGAAGCAGATGAACCTTCCTACGAGAGTCCAAGAGAAGGGGATGAAATCAGAGGTCAAACTAATTGATGTATTTGAGCCTCTGAGGTGCCTAAAACAAGTCCACAAGGCCACGTCCTGATACTTCCCGAAAGTATTCCAAGAGCAGTTTTTGCCAGACCTTGAATACATATCACCTGCAATCTCTTTTATGAATGGTACACAGGGGATGTGAGATTTAAACAGTAGGAATAAATAAAGAAGTTGGGTGATGCAGTGTGCCGAAAACTTGCTTGTGTAATGATGCTAGGCCGTGTTCGATTGAGACAGCCGGTACACATTTTCCCATTTGATTTGAGTAATGCTGCAAGAGAAGTGGATGAACTGGAACCAATGCACTTACTATTACTGAGATCCTTCTCCACAGGATAAACTTTGGGAACATTTGTTTGTGCGCTGAGCAATAACTATAATGAGGCTTCAAAACAATAATGTCATCTTATTGATTTTAAAATTACAATTATTTACAACCGCACAGGGACAAACTTATGAAACGTAGAAGATACAAGAGAACAGTTCTTATTGTTGATTAATACAAGAGCACAATAACTCAATACATTCACTGTTTTATAAAACGTTTACCTGAAGTCATATGCATTCATTTGTTCAGTGAGCAGCCAGATTAAGAATAATAGGTTACCCGAAATCTCATTGACAAAGAAGAAAGGGTCGGGTCACAAGACTTTGCAGAAATACATTGCATATTGTTTAATGACGTAATACCACTAGTGATAATTATATAATCCTTCAATATTCTTGCATTCGTCAGCAAATTATCGCACTGGATTTTTTAAACCTTTATATACTTTTTATCGTTGTGATGGGGGTGGTGGGGGGTTGCTACTTTGTTGATGCTAGAAGAGCCTAATAATACACTGAATATTTTTGTTGAAGAACAAGACTACTTCTTTGGAAATGTATTTATGGTTTAGTTAAATTACTGGTCAGGACAGTGTCAGTTGTGACAGCAGCTAGCTAATGTGAAGAAATGAACTCGCTCTCCAGGGGAGGAACTGCATTCAAATCAAACATTTAGTTCTTGCATTGGTAATGAACACGAGCATCTGTTTTCTGGCTGCTGCATTCAAATTTTTTATTGAAATTGTTCTGGTTTTGAGTCAGCTTTAAATACGTTACAAACGATATTGAGAGTGCAGGGTTCATTGCCAATAGTACAGCATTTTAAGCCATATCTCTCAGCAGCACTGACATTCAATTGAATCATTTCAATTGTGTTTTCCTTGTCCCCCTGCTATTTTGAAACTTTTGAAAGCTATTTCCTTTCCCACGGGCAGGCAAGTCCAGGGTTAGCTTAGTTAGTTGAAGTCTTGCCCTTGTTCAAGAGATGGATTCAAGACGCACATTGGAACTTGAGTTCATAGTCTATACTCACATTGCAATGCTGGTGGACTGATAGAGTGCTGCATTGTTGCCTTTTGGATGAGATGAGAGGTTAAGCAGATGTCCCATCTCCCTGTTTTTCTAGATGTTAAAGATGTCATGACTCGACTTGATAAGTGAAACTAGGTTCTACTGGTTTCCTAGTACGATCCTCCATATTAATTTGTTCATCACTTCTTGGCTGTCAGACCTACTGCTGGTGCAAATGACTGCCACGTTTGCCTAAAAACATAGTCGCTCTGCTTGTGGGTTGTAAACTGTGAACCACTTTGAAACATTCTGATGTGGGAAAGTACTAAAAACTACAAGTTCCTTCTTGTATCTAAAATATATCCTGCTGAAATTTCCAAATGGCCTCCCTTCTCCTTGCCTCTCTATATGTGAGTAAATTAAAATATTAGTGATCTTGTTAATTGGGGATTGATTGCTGTTTCCAATGTATACAATGCGCAATTTCTACATTGCTCAGTGGGGTTTTAGTACAAGTACAGCTTGGTAGCATTCCTTCAGGATCAACATTCATTTACAGACTCACGATTAACCAGAAAACAGTAATGAAAGTGATAGGCATACCAAAAAAAAACTATTTTTAATGTAGAACAGTATTGTCAAGGTAACAATCTTGGTATGTGTTGATTGAATTGGAACAAGTTCAAAATCCAACCACATTCAATCAGCAATTTACCCTTTCAAGGTCAATAAAATGGGTAGGATATCCAACAATGCCCTCTGTGGCTAGTGGATTGAAATACCATTTTTGATGATTAACAGATATGTCTAGCTCATCAGGATCTGGAGGTATAGAAATGATCAGTCACCATAAAACGATAGTTACTGGTATCCTGTGTTGCTAACATTAGTATTGCCGAAGTATTGGAGGAAGAAATTATGGTTGCTTTTGCAACATTTCGTAACAAGGGAGTGAAAGCTGAAATGAAATAACCCATTGTCATCTTGTAGTGAGAGCTAAAGATTTAGATGCAAGATGATCCGTACTCTCTAATTGCTACATTCTCACTTTGTCAAATTGATCAGTGAAGGGGAATGTGGATGGTTTGCATATTAATCCTTATGAATGTCGAGCTCATTAGGGACTCAGTTAGCGGAGAGCATTACGAGTCACATAATCATTTATGTAAACAGATTGCTAAGCAAATGAGCAAGCACACGATTAACAGATCATCATGTGGCATAATATTGTGGTGCTAAACTGCATCCAAGGTCTGAGGAATTTCATGATTCGTACACACCAGAGGCCCCAAATGTCACCTTGTTGTAGCCTATTGTAAGTCAGTTTTGTGTTAAAATGTAATATTAAGCAACATTGTGAAAAGTGTTTGTATGTGTTACTCTTCTTCCATCAACATGTAAACATAGCAATAATTGATACCTGAACTTTGATTTTAGGAAAATACTCATCACAAGAGCCTTGAGTTGAGACATGTTTATATAGTGTTGTGTCAGAGTAAGTATGTGAAATTGATTAACAAAGATCCTATGAATATGCTATTGCATTATTTTAGTGTACTGACCATCTGTCTACTATTACTGATGAGAAGTGATCTGACAGGTTTTGTCATCTCCATTTGCAGTATCCATCCATTAACCCCGTTTCCACAGGTCTCAAAAGATGCTCTGGGGACAGGACCTGGAGGAAGGCTGATTACACCTCCATGTGGCATGAGATGCTTCCGTCTCACTTAACCTGAACAAAAATGCATTGATTCCACTTTACACTGCATGAGCTGAATTTAGATCAGCCAGTGATTGCTCCTATATTATCACTTCCCTTTCATCAAATGACAGCCTGGAATTGGAAACAAAGCCAATATCCCTGGTACAATGTAGTTTCTATTTTGATAAGGAAAAACTACGAAATATTTTAGTGCACAGAGAGTGACTGGTGCTGTTGATATGTCTAATCAGATAGAATAATTGCTTTATTTGAGTGAAAGCTCTCTGTGTTGGAGATAAACACTGACTCTACTAGGGGGCACTTAGTGTTCAGTGTGCAGAACTCTGCTGATTATGATCCCCAGGACAACTTATTGTTTTTACCCCGCACTGCAATGGAAAATAACAAAGTTTCATTTAAGAAAAAAATTATTTGATCCACAAATGGATAAGTGTAAAGATAATGGTTTATCTTTAGTGCACCAGTTTCTGCTGGTTGGTAAAAAGGTAACAAGGAACATTAACTCAGGATTGTCACAGGAACAGAAGGCTAGAATTTATTTATTTCATGTCAACATTTATTAGAAATGAAGGGCTGGAAATTCTATCAGAACATTAGTGATCCTGATGACTGAATTTGGGGAGTCTTAAAATCTTAGTGTAATCCACAGGCTTTTTTTGTAGAACAAAAATTTACATCACAGTAAAAAAAGACCCATAATAACTTTGTTTTGTAATTTCCATTGTTTGAGACTGCAATCTTTAAGACCAATCCGAAGGAATTTGGAGCCTGAGGACAGAAAGATAGTGGCTAAAAGTTTGTCCACCAACGGTGTAAAGAAGAGGATGAGGAATGAGGGGGGAGAGAGGGGCCGGGTAAACCTCAGAAGGGCAAGATGGGGCCAGTAGGTACTTTAGGTTGGGGCTGCTTTGTAGCACTGGCTGTGGTCCTCCTCGGGGTTTCCCCTGAAAAGAGGTGAGCTGTAGATAGATGGGGTGGGGGGGGTTGGTCATGAGCCCCTATAGTCCTAACCACCCACCATCAATGGGTATAAAGGACGAGAATGGGACTGGAAGAGAGAGAACTTCAAAGAGCATGGTTTTAACCTTCAAATCTTGCCAAACTAGTGAACCAAATTGAATTGAAACTAAAGGCAGCCACATAATCTGTTGGATTATTCACCGTTAGCAGTTAGCAAGGAGAAATATGCACAGCACCTCATTTTTATTTTCAAAATAAATCCAGTGTGTGTTTGTTCTAAATATGGGGGATCCAAGATTTTAAATGCAGTACATTGCCAACTCAACTATAGTATTCCTTTACAATCTCACTAAAATCACTCACCTAAATTTGGACCGAATTGATATTATATTAATGTTACCCCTCTTAACAAAACAAAATTTGATTTACAACCTTTTTGTTTCAGTATAATTTACAAAGAATAATAAACGACGAAAGAAGTTGATTTCCATGGCAACCCTGGTAGAGTCTTCGTGACCTTGGATCCTCCCCCCTCCTCTCACATTCTTGTAATTCCGATTGTCTGGCGTCTTACTGGCAGGAGTTGCTAAGAAAGAGTCTGTTGTGGAAACTGCGAGCGTCAATCTGACAAAAGGTTTACTGAGCACCCAAGCATTAAACGTCCCCCACAGTAACAGTCGCAGATTGCCTCCTCAATTTGCCTATTTTGGCAAAGCATGTTATTCCACTTACAGGAACTTGGTACAGTTCTGTGCTAACTTCAAATACCATTCCTGCTCATCACCCTCTGAGCTCTGGATTTGCCCAGGGAATGCTGAAATGGTAACACTTGTGCATTGATTTGGTCTGGCTTTAGCACATTGCTTTCTCTCTCTCTCTCTCTCTCTCTCGTTATAGTTTACATAATTAGCTTCCTGAGCTCAGTGACAGTCTGCAAGAGGACAGAAGGGCCTCTATTGCTAATGCAGATCAATCTTTGAACCCATGGTAACTGGGTAGGGTACCTGGCAACCTTTCTCACATACATACACAGCCTGCGGAAGTCGTGAGGCCAGGCTGAGGGGCGCAAGCTTGGTCTGCGACATGCACTGCCACATTTATGATGGAACTTCTATTTTAAAAGTGGCTTTGGAATGTGTCCAATGGCTGCATACTACAGGCCACATACAGGAACTGTGAGTAGTTTTTTTTGGAAGAAAAATCTAAAAAGTTGATCTGTGCCTGGCTACCACACCTAAGACTCAAGCTCACAGTTCTCCCTGATGCTCCAGTGCAATACTGTTGGACATTGCATTGATGAAAGTACTGTCATTCAGATGAGATGTAAAACTGAGGTCCAATCTGTGCTAGTTCAGGTCAAAGTTAAAGTGATGCTGTTTTGAAGAGGAGTAGGGAGTTCTCTGGATGTCCTGATCGCACAAAAGCACATTAAATTTGAACTTGTTCCTGTCCGCAGGATGTTGCTGGTGCAGATAAACCTGCCCTGTTTATTTTCAAAGCAACTCACTTGGGTTGAAAATGTGGCAATCACAAACTGGAAATCATGATTGTGACTGGCACTTTGCTTTGGGACTTTGTTTGTTGTTATAGTTGTGGTTGTTATTATTAATAATAATAATAATCCTTGCATTTGATATAGAGCCTTTCACATCGGGAGAACGTTCCAAAGACTTTCACAGGATTTACCATGAAGTGGACGGTATCTGTAGGTGAAGGCGGTAGCCTAATTGTATGATTAAAAAGTCCAAAAAAAAAAACTGTCAAAAAGTTGGAAAGTGAAAGCTTAGAGATCTCCATTTTTCTGGGGTAATGAATCCAGCAATTTCAATCTCCTGTAAATCAAAGTTAACACAGCAACACCTGGTCATACATGTCATATTTGCAACCCCAGTCAGATATTTCAACATCCTGAAATTGTGTATGTAATGCAAATAATTGTTACTTTCTTGAGTGTTAGATAAGTATCAGTGATCAATGGCTGACTAGCTGACTCAGAGGGCAGCGTATCCAAGAATTAAAAGGTGGTGCCCAATTGCACATGTAGTTCAAATGTAGCCGCGTCTTGATCAGCTTGCTTTATTCTCATCAGCTTCAGCAAGATCAAGGTCGTCTGCCGCCTTACGACGCACTCGCTCAAATACTCCCGGAGTACAATTACCTATTCAGTGCCACTCATCTATCTCCGAAGCAACCAAGACCACAGCAGCCAACAAGTAAAGCCCCATACCCTCTTCCGATACAGCAGCCTGCTCTGACATCTGAAGAAAGGTATTTTCTCAGTTACTCGCCACCATTAATTCTTTATGAAAATGTATTTGCCGTATCATTTTTTTTCTGTTTTGAATTGGAAAGCAGCGCTGGTGTAGTTAGTGGTGGAGTCAGTCCCCATAAATGGTGCAGACTCAATGGGCTAAATGGTTGTCTTCTGTGGGTAAAAATGTCTGTGCTTCACTCCTGGTGGCTTGTTAGGCTCAATGCCACACACTACTGTGCATGACATTGAGCCTAATAGACAGAACCTAGTTCCACTTTTGCACTGGGTTAGCTGATCTCATCTGAGACGGCAGTCAGCCTGGGCAAAATCAGTCTGGCCAACAATCCATAACCTTAGTTGATAATACCCCTCGTGCCTGTTTGTAGGTCCTTGCTGGCACAAATGGCTGATTGGCTTTGCCTACAAAAGTAACCCTACACTTGACAGTAATTGCTTGTCAATAACTTTTTGACATAAGATGCTGTAGAAGTTCTTTCTTTGACTTAACTTTGATACCCATGTCTCTATGGAGCCCATTCAGAAGTAGGAAGACTTTTGATTTGATCAAGCCCTCTTTTTCTCTGTGGATTTAGACTTGGTATTAATTTTACTCTCATTTAAAAAGGTGAAGGGTTAAATGAGAATACAGGGATCCAAACCGACAACCTTCTGACACTCAACCAACCAAGCTACCTTTGTGAACTGCCTTTTAAACCTGCTTGATAGTATCATAGCCTTGCACTTGTCATCAATGCCACATTTATATTCTGTGTGTAACATGCAGCTCTTCAGTAGAAATCAGCAATTGGCTCTAACTCTATGAATTGTTATTCCAGTTTTGTATGAATGTCATTGTGCAACATGGGTTCACAGAACCTGACAATGACAGCATGCACAGTGTAAAATAATGAAAAACTATAGAAATTATAACGTATGAGGCTGTTCAGCCTTTGTAGTCCAAATGGATGCTAGCTCATTCACTGGAGCCAACCAAAGCGATCTACACAGTTTCACATTATTAGATAGAAGTGATTTTGAAGTTCCAGTCAAAGTTAAATTTAAAAATATACACTTTGTAATTTTTTGATGATAGATGTAATGCTGCCCAAAGCTCAATGGCCCTGTTTTGTAATGCTCTCAGCTGTCAGCTATTCATTTTTTAGTTGCATCACTGACATCTCACCTTTGAGTGACACTAAACCAGTTTTACTTTAAATATCTTCTTTCCTTTTCTCAGGGGACCTTTGACTGGCGAGCGCATTGCAAACCGAGAGTTTACAGATCATGAAGCTAAAGTAAGTGTTATATAGTATTAGATATTAGAGCTATGGAGAATGGTACAGGGTAGGTTCATAAGGATGATGATATAAATGAAAGGACATAGCTATGAGGAAAGGATAGGGTGGTTAGAACTCTTCCCACGGGAGTAGAAATTCATGCCTTTTGTAACATTGGAGGTTTAAGAATAAAAGGGCATGAATTCAAGACAAGATTGTGATCAGGGGAGTGAAATCCAGACATTTATAATAATAATAATCCTTGCATTTGATATAGAGCTTTTCACGTCGGGAGGACATCCCAAAACGCTTCACAGAACACACTGTAAAGTGAATTGACTGTATTTGTGGGCGAACGCGGCAGCCAATTGCGCACAGCAATGTCCCACAAACAGTCGTAGATTGAAAATGACCAATTTATTATTGTTTTTGGTTTTGGAGGGATTATTATTAGGTGTGTGGAGTAAGGAAACTTGCCCAAGGTTTCGCCCTGTGCCTGGAGTTGAACTCGGGTCTCTCACTTGCAAAGCGAGTGCTCTAACCACTGAGCTACAGGACTCCACTAAGCTACAGGACTCTTGTGGCTGACACTCTTGGATGTGCCTCAATTCTCCTGGTCAGTCCAGCTCCAGAGCATCACATGTTTTCAAAGTGACCTTGTCGCTTTCTTGGAAGAATTCCTCATGGAATCGCAGAATGTTTCCAGCACAGAGGGAGACCATTTGTATGTGCACCTGCCACTAGCTCCTCTACTGGAGCGATCAGGTCTAATCCCATCATTTGACTATCTACCCCCCCCCCCCCACCCACCCATACACACACACACATCCCTTTTAATATTATCTTCATGTATTCATTCAATTCTTATTGAAATGCATTTATAGATTTGGTTCAAAGAGCTGTTTTTAGTGAAGCATCTGACATTCTAACAACCTTTTTTCTTGGAATGGGTTTTTGGTAGCTGTTAACAGGAAAGGACACTTATTGTGGTCTAATTTACAAAAGAATTTGAATCTGGGTTCACCAAAACTGTGATCTTTGCCTGAGTGGCATTCCAGAGGGTCATGTACGACACATCTGGGAATCACTACTTAGAGACCCTTTTGCAAACCTTGCATGTTGCTGCCCAACGTAGTTAAAATGGCAATTGGGAGAGAGCATTTTCCTGACTTTATTGTTTAATGATTCCCATTAATGCCTCAATGACCATTTACTGTCATCATTTGAGATGGATTGCACGTGAGTTGATCCTAAAAATGTGCAGTTTGGAGTCGAATGTGTTCTGGATAACACAATGTAAATGAGGTAATGGATATTTACAGTGATGTGATGTAATCTCAGAGTTGAGATTTATGATCAGTACTCATACATTTACTCACAGCATCCTTCATAAGTACTTCAGTAACCCCTAGTCTGCCTGCCTGAAGCTCTGCGGAAACTCTCGTCTCTGTGAGCTAAGCAATCTATATCTATGGAGTCCTGTAGCTCAGTGGTTAGAACACTCGCCTCGCAAGCAAGGGACCTTGGTTTGATTCCCGGCAGGGCAAAACGTTGGGCAAGTTTCCTTACTCCACATGCCTGATAATAATCCCTCAAAAAAAAAACAATAATAAATTGGTCACTTCAATCCACTACTGCTTGTGGGACACTGCTGTGCGCAATTGGTTGCTGCGTTTCACCCACAAATATACAGTCAATTCACTTTGTGGTATATTCTGTGAAGCGCTTTGAGACGTCTAGAAGATGTGAAAAAGCGCTATATCAAATGCAAGGATTACTGTTATTATGTATTTTCAGCTTGAATAGTCAAAAAATGCTGCTCAAACCTCAGCAAAACTTTATGATTGTAATATTAATGACAATTACCTCAAATAAATACAATATAGTGATTTTAAATCAACGTAAAATATTTTAAACACTTTACTGTTCTTTCATATGTCCCTGCCCAACATGTAGAAGATTTATACTGTGGTATATAACACATCATATGTTTTATATATGTTTTATATTTTTGTTTCTTTTTTATTTCTATGTATTTTTAACTTTAAAATAATAATAATAATAATCCTTGCATTTGATATAGCGCTTTTCATGTCTTCTAGATGTCTCAAAATGCTTCACAGAATAGACTGTAAAGTGAATTGACTGTATATTTGTGGGCGAAACTCGGCAGCCAATTGCGCACAGCAGTGTCCCATAAACAGTCATGGATTGAGTAACCAAATTATTGTTTTTTTTCTTAGGAGATTATTATCAAGCGTGTGGAGTAAGTAAATATGCCCAACGTTTAGCCCTGCCGGGAATCGAACCCAGTTCCCTTGCTTGCGAGGAGAGCGCTCTAACCACTGAGCTACAGGACTCCACAATCTGTCCCCTGCCTCCTTCAGGACCCATCTCAAGACCTTCCTTTACTATTGTGCCTTTGGTCACCTTCCCTCCTCCACCCCCCTTGCCCACCACGCCTCTCTGATCTTAATTATTACTTTTTTTTAAAAACATGATCCCAATCTGCAGCTCAGGTGCAAACTCTTCATTGGCCAGCGCCTTGGGACATCCTCACGACATAAAAGGCGCTGTGTAAATGCAGGTTGTTGTTGCTCTGGCTGTTACTCATATGGAAAGCTGGTGCTATATTTACCTGCAGCTGCAAACCTATGCATTGGCTCCCAGGGCCCTTCTCCCACAGAGTAAATGGTACTATTCTGAGATGCTCACTGTCAAAAACTTCACTGGAGTGCCTGAAGAGAGCAGGAGATCCGATGTGATGAATCTGTACCAATCCAGAATATTTAGCCAGGGGCAATAAATAAAGCAATATATTTTCGAGGGATACCTGAAAACTCACTCTTTACACCATCCCTCCTATTTGAGCCGTTTGTAAAAGTTCAATACTGTTTTATTTAAAAAGAGAAATTTAAATGAATTATTAAGATTTAATCTTAGATTGAATACAAAACATAGAGTTCTCTGAGGATATAGTTTCTGCTATTTGAAGGGGTTCAACAGTGGAAATTTTGTTCTTATCAATTGAAATCTGTTCAGTGCAACTGTAGTTAAATACCCCCCTCTGCTGGATGTGGATGCAACAAATAGAATTAAATATTGAGTTTTGGTCACTAGGCGTCTGACACATGAACAAATCCATTGTCATTCTTAACAACATGTAAACCAGATTGATATACACATGGAAATTTTCCCTCAACTGCAAAGGTGTGTATGCTTTCCCTGGGGAATGCACCCCATTTATCTAATCCCAGTATTGAAAAATTGTTTTGTTTTTAATTTAATCTGAAATAATGTAATCTGAAATCATCAGGGGACGCTTGATAAATCACTCTTTTTAGTTTAAGACAACTTTCCTTGGTTATGAAAGGAATCATTCTATTTATTCACATAACTATTTGAGTTATGTGAATCATTCTGGGCTTCAGGTGCTCTGTACTCCTGCTAAGTAGACGGACACCGCATGGTGTTGGCAGATGTCTTGGAACAGGTTATTGGACTGATCTCTCGGATAGTTGTGACATCTAAATGTGGAATATAATGCACACGAGTTTAAAAGCCACCCCTAACCCTTTATAACTTGTGTTAGTTTGTATCCTCGATTAATGGAACTATATAAAAGATCCAAATTCAACTATATCCCTGCAGAGTCCAACATTTTGTGAACGATCAATACTGGGGCCTAAAAAGGAATGGTTTGCAACCCGGTTCACTAATAATGACTTAGAGTCACTAATCAGAAATTTGTCGGAAAACAATTACTCCCTTACATAATACTTGAGTACTGAATGGTTTTGCCTGTGGCTCAAGAATGTGTGAACTCTTCATGTATATAGACAATCTCCTCTGTGAAAGATGAATACTGTAGAATATAAATTTGTGTGAATACATATTAAGTTGTGGCTATTTGAAAAAACATTTAACACATCTGTCCTTCATGTAAGACATTAAACCACGGTCTTGGCTGGCTGTTCTGGTGGTTTAGGTAAGGACTTCTTTTGAAGTGTGGGGAGTTTTCTTGTCTTGACCAATATCCCACCCTCGCCGAAATTGATCAAACAACACAGATTAATTCTGGTAAATCATCTCAAAGCTGTGTGTGAGACAGTGCAACCAAAGATTAGATGCTGGATTTGCTTACGCCATAATTATCATACTTGCACATTGTTGAAGTGGTTTGAGATATTTTGGTGCTGTTTCATCCTAAACATAACACCAACTATATGTGGAACTATAAGAAAGGAGAGGTTAAAATAAATGGTCTGATTTAAATTCGGCCACACTTTAATTATGTCTCCTTAATTTAATGGAACATGTATGGTACATTTGCCCTAAGACAATCTGTTTGCATTGTGATGCATTTGAATGAGGATGCTTATTGCTACATGATCCCAGGATGTCCGTGGCAAATGAAGCATGGAGCTGTTGTCTGCTATTCATCAGCCAGCCATAAAACGCTGGATATTTATATCAGTCTATTAAAATTCAGAGAAGTCAGGTCTTGGCTTGATTTGTGACCCATATGATTGCTGTTATTTCGGTTTCATCATAGACTGAGAGCACAAAAGTCAGGATTTGATTGAAGTTCTATCTCTCATGTAATCATGAATCTTCGCCTGTGAACATTTCAATTAGGATGGCAATTTCACTTCTTATACCCAAGGGGGAACGGCCCACCTCCATTCAATCAGAAATCTATGATCAGCTGAGCTATCAGTCGACAGTCAGAATTACACTAAAGATATTTGCAGTCTCCTTTTACTAAAGAGCATATTTTTGATTAATTTAGATATGAATGCAGGATCATCATTGCAGATATGGCCTTATAAACATTGACCAAGCCCTTGGTTTGAGGGATGCATATATATATATATATATAATTTTAAAATAGTATTTGTTGCTGTGATGCTTTGGCTGTGTGTTTGTTTGCACCACACTGTGTTGGAGATAAGTGTGTATGGTCGTGCTACAGAAATGATCTGTGTACATGTATTCACAGTGGGCTTGCTATCACAATCTGCATTGCATTTATCTGCATCAAAGAAATGCAGTCTCGCTGGAAATGGCTCCTCTGAAAAGAGACATTGAGCCCCACTGTGCGATGATATTTAAGCTGGAACCAATTGAAGGAATGAAGAAAGGGTGCATTAAAATGAGCTGTGAAAAATCAGCCCATTTTAAACGGGTTCAGCTCAATTCTCAACTAAAATTAAAATAATCCAGAAGGATCATGACACGATGTACAACACGCCAAAAGATTGGATTTCAAAAGTACATATTATAATTGAATTCTTCAAAAATTGTGTGTTTTTAATTTAGATGGACTCTGAAATCATGTGGGGGGAGGGGGGGGCGGTACTTTGAACCTTGATAATTACCTTTTTTTTTGGTGGGGAATGTTTTTTCGGATGGGAAATCCTGTATAAACACATAGGTGCAGGCAGACTAGCAAAGAGTTTAACATGCACAAATGCTAAAATCCATGAAGTCAACAAACAGAGGATATTCACTGGCCTCGACTTTGTCAGACTTTGATTTGTGAGTAGGAAAACATTTTGACGTAAAGTGTTTCATAATATCATAGAATGTTACAATACCGAAGCAAGTCATAATAATAATAATCCTTGCATTTGTGCCTGAAACGCCATTGAGACGTCTCTAAGAGCTTCACAGAATATACTGTGAAGTGAATTGTCTGTGCATTTTGTGGGCCAAACACAGCAGCCACATAGCACTGTCCCTCAAACATCGTGGATTGAATGACCAAGTTATTATATATTTTTTTCAATACAAGAATTTTGTGCTGCTCTCTTTGCTCTGTATGAGTGAAATTAAAAACCCCACTCTCCTGTTTGCTTTCCATAACCTTTAATGTTCCTCTTATTCAAGCACCTTTCTAATCCCTTTTTAAAAGAATTCATGGCCTCTGCCCGACTGTGTTTTAGCAGAGAATTTCACATCCCAATCATCCTCCATGTAAAATTGTATTTTTTAATCTCTTTAATTCCTTTGGTGATTATCGTAAATGTGTTCCTGACTCAGAAACATCAGCCATCTTCCTCTCTTTGTTTTATTGCTTTACACATAGAGTAACCAAACTTTGTGGCTTTTCTGGGCATCTTTACAATGGATCTGTTTCATATTATTGAATATTTTTCACTGGTTGTCATTAAAATGCCACTGACCATTTTGATGAAAATAATTAATTCTACATATAACCCAAACAGTCTGATTTCTGTAAGCACTTTAAACTCATAATTCATAAGTTGTTCAAGATAAAAAAGTAATTGCAGCTCTTAAATTGCTCTTTCTAATACTGATTTTCAACCGATATTGTCAAGATAATGTTGGAATCAACAATTGACAGTAGGAATGTGAAGGACTGCTTGATCACATTAGCTCAAGGCTTGTTTGGAAAATTTGTCAAGTTACGTGATTCATTGTGAAAGTATCCTTGAGATGGGCTGAATTTCAAAGATAATGAGACCTTCATAATGCAGCTGGTTGGAACAGTTGACGTTAGCAGGCGAATGTGCTTTTAACCCTTAATGACATCCTGACCATCTATGACCAGGGCTCCCTCTGCCTCCTCATCCTCCTCGACCATCGGCAGCATTCGATACGGTCGACCACGCTATCCTCCTCCACCGCCTGTCCTCCCACCTAAACCTTCAAGGCCCTGTCCTTGAGTGGTTTAGGTCGTACCTCTCCCAACATCTCCACTTTGTCTCCACAAATGGTTTTTCCTCCGGCCCCCGCACTGTCTCGTGCGGTGTCCCTCAAGGCTCTGTCCTCGGTCCCCTCCTCTTCACCCTCTATATGCTCCCCCTTGGTGACATCATCCGCAGACATGGGGTTAACTTCCACATGTATGCGGATGACACCCAACTCTACCTTTCCTCCTCTACCCTCAACTCCACGACCACCGATGTCCTGACAGCCTGTCTGTCCGACATCGAGTCCTGGACGAGAGATAACTTTCTCCAGTTCAACGTGCGCAAAACTGAGGCCCTCCTGATTGGCTCACGTCAGCGCCTCCGCACCTCAGGCGCTGACAGCATCAGCATCCAAGGCTGCACTCTCCACCTCTCAAAGCCAGTCAGGAACCTCGGTGTTCTGTTCGACCCTGAGCTGTCCTTTCTCCCTCATATCCGCGCCACAACTGGCACCGCCTTCCATCACCTCCGAAACATCGCCAGACTACGGCACTACCTCACCCCTCACGCTGCTGAAACTCTGGTCCACGCCTTTATCACCTCAAGGCTGGACTATGGGAACTCTCTCCTCGCCGGCCTTCCCGGCACCTCCCTCCACAAGCTGCAGGTCATTCAGAACTCTGCAGCTCGTGTACTGTCCCGCACCAGGCTTCGGGACCACATCACTCCCACCCTCGCTCGCCTCCACTGGCTCCCCATCCCCCAGAGGATCGAATTCAAGATCCTCATCCTCACCTATAAGGCCATTCACGGCCTCGCTCCCTCCTACCTCTCCGACCTACTATCCCCCTACCTACCTGCCCGTACCCTCCGTTCCTCTGGCTCCGGTCTGCTCCACATCCCCCACCCCAACCGCCCTACCATCGGTGGCCGGGCCTTCAGCCTCTCAGCCCCTAGGCTTTGGAACTCTATCCCCCAGTGCCTTCACCGCTTCCTCCCTTTCCTCCTTCAAGGCCGGTCTCAAGACCTTTCTCTTTGACCGTGCCTTCAGCTCTCCTCTCGACTCTCTACCCCCTCCTCGCTCCCTCCCTTCCCTCCCCTCACCCTGACCATTTCCCCCCTGCTCGGGTCCTGACCCAACTGTACAGCGCCTTGGGACGTCCTCCCGACGTGAAAGGCGCTCAATAAATGGAATCTTGTTGTTGTTGTTGTTAAGCACCTTGCAGAAATAGAGCAACTTCTGAGGCCAAACAGTTCTGTAAATGTTCACCCACTGTAATACTGCTCTGGCCTCAGTAATTACAGTAATAATGGTACTTGAATGTCAAGAACAGGTTTATTAACCTTTGTATTACTGTGAGTCCTCTCAGCCTTACACTCTTGAATGAATATTTGGAGGATCACCCAACATACACTTTCCACCAAGGTTTTCTGGAGAGTTATCAGGCATGGAACCCGGACTGACTTCCCTTCCTGACAGAGGAACGCTTTCAGTGGAGCAAATTTGTGGCAATGTTTTTGTTTTTTAAAAAAAAGTCTACGCTGTAATGTGCTAAAAAGGAGCATATTAAAAGCGGTGTTTGAAGATCGTCTGTTTGGTTGTTTGAAGGTTGTCTGTTTGGTTGTTTGAAGGTTGTCTGTTTGGTTGTTTGAAGGTTGTCTGTTTGGAGCCCAGCCTCCATTTTCAATGTCAGTGTGTCACCACGTCAACTCTGTCAAAAAAGCAGCAGTTCACAACAGAATTTACTAACAGCGACTCAGAGTTCTGGTGACTGGCAGTTTGTCATGACTGACTGACTGACTGGGGGGAATCCCTTGAGTCATCCTATTATGAAGAACCCAGCAGCTAATTTGTGTGCAACAAAATTCTATTATTTTTCTCCAACATAAGTCTAAATAATAACTTGAGCAATATGAGCTGAAACTTCAAGTAAAAGAAAATGCCTGTGTTTTCAGCTCATGCTAAGGCTCCATTATAGCAGAAACTTTTCAACGCTTTGCCTGTGTCGTGGATGATGAGATCTGACCTGCCCCAGGTCTCCCAAACATCCTTCAGTCAATGTTTTAATAGCCAATCTTGTCCTCTGTACTTTTATTTTCAATGGAGCGTACTTCTCCTCTGCCCCATTCCTGTAGATAAGTAGACTGACCTTGGTAATTGGTGTCCTTGTACCATTAGATATTTTAGGGACACAGTGAGGTGTTGTTTGTTTTGGCATGTCAACATTATCAGCAATTAATTATATCAAGGTACAGTACAATCCTCAAATGAACCACTCTTAACCAAAGTGCCTATTACAGTATGTGCTGGTTGTAAACTAAATGTTTTCCATCCATACATGGACAAAAAATGTTGGTGCCCATAACATTTCTGTTTTGAGAAATTGGCAAATCTCCCGATGAAACTGTGGAAATAAAATCCCATTTTAAACGCTTTAACACTTTTCAATTTAAAATTGGTCATTCACTCCATGGCTGTTTGTGGGATATTGCTGTGTTCAAATTGGCGAACATGTTCACCCACAAAATACACCCAGTCACACCACTTTACAGTGTATCCTGTGAAATGCTTTGAGATGTCTCAATGACATAAGGTGCTATTTCAAGGATTACTATTCTTATATCAAATGTTTATTTGCTTTACTGAATTACAGGAGATGGATAACTATCGCACAGCGATGCGAAAGATGGCCGAAGACATCATTGACCTGAGGAAAAACATTTCAAGTCTGGAGGCTGAAAACAGCAAACTGCGGAGTGAGCTAAGCTTGCATCAGGATCTGGGTCGAACTCTGCTGGAGGACACAGATATCGATGTAATGACAAAGGCGGAAATAGCTGACAGAATAGGTACAGATTTCTTGCAATCTGGGATTCACATGCAATTGTAGAGGTATCAGATATGCCACAGTTGGGGCACTTTTTCTCCCTCTTCCCGGCACCACCCACCCCCAACACCACCACCTCCAATGGCAAAGTCCTGAAGCTGGGGTCACAATTTTGTCCTCCAGGTCACTCAAGACTTTAGGGTGCTGTTTACTAGGACAGTGGCTTTGCACTGATTTCAGTGAAACTGCGAAATCTACCATTAATCATCATCTGGAAGATCTTGCTTCAGGACATCAGCACTGATTCCAGATTAGTGCGAGGGGGGAGAGAAAAGAATCTGCTTCCAGCACATTCATGTAATTTTTATTCAACAAATCTCTTAATTTATACTGCTTTTAACCTTTGTGTGTCTGTACTACTAATGACCTACAAATGGATTGACCCATTAAGGCAGACATGACTAGGTATTGTTTGCTTGTGAATTGCTTTGTCATGTGGTATCCTATTTGCTCTCTTAGCCTTTGTTTGTGCCACATGACAGCCAAGTAATTAAAATGAGTCTGATTAGAGGCATATTCATGTCAGATGAGATTGGCTACAATGCTTGATTTTACTTGCTGTCGAGGCCATTTGGGTGAGGTATTGGAGGGCGTCTAGCAGCCATCGATAAAAGAGTTGTATGACTTCAGGAGAGAGGGGTAAAGAAGAATTTGGCAAAGAGAGAGGATAGAATATATAAATGTCGGATAAAGGTACATTAGGGTTTCTGAGACTTTTAACTGATAAACCGCATGTGGTTTTCTATGCCAAAAACTCATCAATCCAATCATAATTTCTTTACAACTGCTGTATTAAAATGGGTGAGCAGAGGTGGGCAGATGCTAAAACAATGTATTCCTTCTATAACCATCTATCCTTTCAGTTTCGTTGAAACAGAAATTAGCTGGTGAGAGTGTAGAGCTGCAGAGTTACAAGGTCAAAGTGCAGCAGCTTCAGAATGAGTTGATTCGGGTGAGTTGATGAGTATTGTATTGATTAACTGTCATTTTCCTCAGCGTAAAATTACTTTCCTGGAGCTCCTTGGTTGCTCCATTGTTAAATTTGTGGTCCAGTGTGAAACTGAGCCATACAGACCAGAATGGTACAAGGTTCAATCTAATCTGTGCTGAGTTACCCATTCTCAGCTGTGAGGGGTGCTATACATAATCCCGAGTCTTAGGGAAAGGTAAAAATCATCAGCAAAAGTTCTCATTATCCAAGAAGTCTCCCCACACCCCTTTTTTTGGGGGAAAGAGTTTCACTGCCTTTTCCTTTAACATGAATGTGTTTCTACAGGCCATCCTCTGCTACCTTGTTCAAGTGGTTATGTCTGAGCATTGCTAGATGGTGAGTCTCTAGCGCCCTGACTTGAGATCTGCCAACTCAGCATAGACCGGAGATCAATATGTAGGACATTTTGGATTTTCATGTCTGAGCTACTCATAAGGCAAAGCTCTTAGTCATTGGGGCAACCCCTTGTTACTGTTAATGTTTTATGATGTGTGACCTACCACAGAAGAATGATCGGGAAAAGGAATTGATATGGCTACAGAAAGCACATCAGCAGCAGCAAGCAGTTTTGCAGAAATATCAGGAAAAAGGCAGCCAATTAAAGCTACTGGAGGATACCATACGCCAACAAGAAAAGGTAATGTCAATTAGTAAAAGTCATCCATAAATGGAAAATGATAATGTAAGTATTAAAATTTGTGATTGGATGATATTGTTGATTGCACAGTATAAATGGAGCTTAAGATTCATGGTCGGAAAGTGATTGGCTATTTGTTCAGGTGGATGCTAAAGATTCTTTCCCTCTCAACAAAAAGAGAAGGAAGTTTATCCCGGTGACCTGGCCAACAGTTCGTCAGATAATTGGTCATTCACCTCATAACTGTTTGTGCTCCCTTAGTTGTTTGTAAATGGCTGCTGCCTGTAAAAAGTCACTACATTTTGATGAGATAAAGTGCTATAAAAATGCAAGTTCTTTATTTGATAGCACCAGGTCTGAAAGATGATTGACACGACAGATCACCAGGAAAAGTACCGGAGTCCAGGATACGAGGACTCATTTTCAGATGCTGTAATGAGAAGATGGTAGGATAGAAGAGATCTAATGGGCTTAAAAAGCCTTCTCCATCTGAACCTATCTTGTGATTCTTTTAAATGTATGGATTGTTCATCAGCAGTTGATTGGAAAGTAACACAGTCTAACACAGATATACTGAGTATAAATGTTTTCATGGTAATTTCATGATGTGCTTTAAACCAATCTAGTATGACTGGATGTTTTCTCAATGCAGGTTATAGAAAAAATGGAGCGCCTACTGGATAAAAAACTGAGAGAGAAACCCAGAGAAAAGCCTGGTGCACTTAAAACCCCCACAGGTAAACACTGTGCTTTTAAATTAATTTATTAACTCTGCTTATTGCACTCGAATACATTGCAAAGTTAAGCCCGATTGCATCGTCATAGGTAGAAATCTGAGGTCTAAAATGCAAGATTTCTAGTGGAGAATTCCTTAATGAGGATTTTTTGCAGGTTGGTTACCAGGAAGAATTTCCATTTCTCAAAGAAATCCCACATTTTAGACCCACTGAACTCTCCGAAATATTTGGTCACCTTCCTCCTCCTCCCAATGGCTCGGCCCGGGATCCTTTACTGTAAAGCGCTCTGAGATGCCGTCCGGCATGGAAGGCGCTATATAAATCTAAGTTGTTGTTGTCTAGTTGCTTCGGCTTTTTCTGTGAAACAATTAAAACCAAGTCTGAATTCAATATGTGTAAGAAATTATTCCATTTAATTGACTTAAAGGCAAGATTTTTCACTTGTGGTATAAATGCTTCTGCGATGACATATTGTATATAATGATGAATTGATGAGTTCTTGGTTACTTATGACCGAACAGCTATTATTGATGACAGCAGCACACAGAAAGAAGTGGAGTTGGTGCTGTTGGCAGAGAATGCTCGTCTGCGGGAGGAGCTGCAGAAGTTACGCCATGAACCAAACCCCATCATTCTCCAGCAACCATTTCACCCAGTACCGGTGAGGATTTCCACTAGAGTGTAGCCAAACCCAATCCTGTCCTCACTTGAACAGACAACTGAATTGGCCATGTACCTTGTGCTGTTTTGTGGGACCATGCTGGCACAAATGCTGCCTTTGCCCACTGTACATAGGAAGCATTTTGACATTATTCTACATAATGAGGTGCTATTAAAATGTAAGAGCAGGCATTTCTGGATAGCGATCAGGAGCATTAACCCTGGCTGAGTCTTCTCTTCCATCTCAAGCGCTATCCAGTTGAGGTCAGTGAACTCAGCACTAATACACTAAAATATTTTAATTCACTATGAACTAAAACAAAAATCTATTGGTTTGATATTGTTCTGTCATCATTCTGCATAATTGTTATGTGTTCGCACCCACGATTAAATATTTTACTACATGTAGCTTCTTCAATTTAGATTCAGATGTATTGCTATGATTTCAGGATTCATTTTCTGACTCGGAGAAGCTATGTTTACTGGCAAAATTGGAAAAGGCCCAGGGATGCATAAGAACACTGGAGGCTGTGGTATGTAAGCCCTAATAGCTGTGAAGATGCAGTAAGATAGATTTTTTCTTTGAAAGGCAGAAACATAGAATTATATGGAATGCTGCAGCATGCAAATCGGCCTTGTGGCCCAACTAGTCCTTTCTAGTGAATAACGAATATTACAGTATATAATTGAATGGTGAACTTTGTATCTCCCATTAATCTGTAGAGATTTGTACTGGAGTTATCCATGACAGTTTAGCTCAGTTGGTAGCATGCTCTCATTTAGGTCAGAGGGTTGTGGGTTGAATCCACACATCAGGACTTGAGCTTAAAAGTCTACACTTCACACAGTACTGGGGTGCACTGCATTGTCGGATGTGCAGTCTTTCATATATAAAAACAAGTCTCTGTCTGCCTGATCAGGACATTAAAGACCTTATGACACTTCCTTTCAGCCAATTTTGAATCAGTGTCCATGTCTTGCCCTTGATACCCAGTGACACCAGTTTGTGAAGGAGTCTCTCATGTGGCACTTTGTCAAATGCCTTTTGCAAGCTGTTTGGAACATCATATGGCTTCCCAAAGGTCAATTTGAGTTGTCACCTCTGCAAGAAAAGAAGTCTGAGGTTGGTCAGACTAGTATCTGCAATGCAGATAACTACTGCCAACTAACCACACCCTGAAGATATGTCATCCAAAGCACCTGCTGGAAATCACATCTCACATGTTAATTTCGTAGATGGAAGAGAATTCACGAAAATGGGGGCAAGAAAAGCAGAATCTGTTGACAAGATTGTCAGAATCTGAGCATGGATTTGCAAGGACATCCACCATGGTTTTGCATGATTTTCCTATGGTGAGTGAAGAGTTCTTAAACTTCCTCTTTAATATGATAGCTGGGCTGCAGATCTGGCACAATTTTGTCAAAAATCCTGGACCAGTCACAATAAATTTAGTGAATATTGTTGGTTTACAAGGAAACATTGGGAGAAGTCCCAGGTACGGAAATTCAATTATACCTCTTCACACCTTCCAATATTTCTAGTGTCTAGGACACGAAAACAGCTTACCTGTGTGCGTGGGAAGCGGTTGAGCTGCAGGAAAACAGTTTACATTTCTCGCATTAACCTCGGGTTAATGCGGGAAAGCAGGGTTTTATCATGGACACATGGACAGTATCTCACATTTTTTCTGCCATGACAAATCTGCAGCCCTAATGACATCTTTTGATTTTTACTTAGATTGAGGACATAGAAGAAAGGAGGCGATTCATATTGGGAGTAATGTGTGGCAAATCCTAACAGGAATTAAAATTTAGCATTCTTTCAGCTGTCTTTGTTTTACTGCATGGTATTGGTTATTCTTACTTTATTTCAACAGTAGTCAAGACCATGATATAGGATAAACACGTTTGGTCATTTCTATCATTCTTATTGTGGCTTTATCAATGCTAGAAAACTCATTATTAAAAAGATTTGGCAAATATCATCTACGTGCCTTTTGAGTCAGCGTGGCACCTACATGGTTTTCAATGCTTAGCATTGACTAAATTAAACATGATGTGCTGTCTACATATGCTACACTTTAGTGTTTATTTGCTGCTCTTGGTTCCCTCTGCATCGGCACAGAGGCCGAGTCTTCAGGCACTGCGCCGCTAACCTCTGGATCTCCTTACCTCTGTCCTTCCGCCTCATCCCTTTTTAATTCCTACCTTAAAACCTTCCTCTTCATTGGTGACCTCTCCTTTCTCCCTTGCGCAGGATCCAACTCCACACAATGAAGCGCTCCGACATTATCCTATGTGAAGGACGCAATTATAAATGCAACTTGTTTGTTGTTGTTTAAACAGAAAAATGTATCTGATTCAGTTCTGACTTGAAAGCAATATGGGAAGTTTGATCCTTTGGCATGAGGTTTGGAAGAGTGAATCGACAAGACACATCCACGCCTTAAGAAAATGGAAGTGATCATTTCTGCTCAAGGAACTTGTAGTTTTGTGCGCCTGGTCAAATTGTGAATGAATTTTGCAGCAAGAATAAAGCACTTTAAATCAAAGCTGAGTATAGATGTTTAAAGACAAGAGAAATTGTTTACTTGCTAAAGATGCAAGTAAACATATGGATCACACATAGTTCTGATGTGAAATTGCTGAATTAGTATAAATTTATGTACAGTAGTGATTCTCACAAAAATGCTAATTGTAATTTATTGATATCACTACAGATGTCTTAACTATCCTATCTACTCTCCTCCTTAAATGGTTTAATTTGTAGATTCGACAGCAAAGTTTTTGTTAATTGAAGAACTGACTTTTGTGTGCAATATATTTCTACTTTTAAACTTGCAGGTAAAAATAACACCCAATAAAAAAACTTTCTACTTTGCTTTATTTTGGGAGTGGGAATATATTAAATGCGCAATTTAAGTTTAATAAAGCATTTGATCTATAGATCCATTCATCGAGCCAGAAGAAATGGAATGACATTAACAACAATAATTGTAAGCAAGTAGTTATTAACCCCAATGCTGTGTTTATCCATCTGCATGCATATGTTTCTATAATTATAAGGGCTCAGACCTTCAGCCCATTTATGTTACTGAGTACTTTCATAATAAAAAGAGGGTGAGATGAGTGCAATATAATTTTCAGGTGGAATGTAGCACAAATTTGCAGACTGAGTTTTGATTCAATAATCCTTACATTTGATATATTTCATGTGAGGATACATCAACAACAACAAAATTACATTTATAGAGCGCTTTTCACGTCGGGAGGACGTCCCAAAGCGCTGTACAGTCAGGTGTTGGGGCCCGAGCATGGGGGAGGGGTGGTGTAGAGATGAGGGAAGGCAGAGGGGTGCTTGTCAGAATATACTGCATTGTGGATTAAATGTGTTTTGCACACAGCATTATCCACCCCTCCCCCAAACAGCTGTGAAGTGAATAACCAATATTTGGGAATGGTACAGTATTGTGATTTAAGGCACAGGGTTAAGGTGGGAAAGGATATTTTACTATTAAAACTTTTTTTGTGACCATAATGTTGAGTGCTGTCCAAGAATGTTAAGAAGATAAATAGCCTGATAAAATCAGGAAGATTTCTGCTTAAAGTTCTTGAAATTTGATATTGGTATAAAAAAATCAGATTGCTAATTAGACTGATAAAAGATTACTAGAATCTTATTGCAAAGGGTAACATTGTTCAATATGAGCTTCTATTGGGAAATACTATGGTTTGGTACATTTAGATGATTAGAACAGAATAACCTCTGAAGGTTGTTCATTTACAAGAACCTAATCAGCATCATATTGATAGGTGGAGATAATAACAATAATCCTTGCACTTGATATAGTGCCTTATCGCGTCTTTGAGACATCTCAAAGTGCTTCACAGAATATACTGTAAAGTGAATTGACTGTATATTTTGTGTGCAAAACGCGGCAGCCAATTGCGCACAGCAGTATCCCACAAACATTTATAGACTGAGTGAACAAATTATTATTGTTTAAAAAAANTGTTTTGAGGGGATTATTACCCCTGGAAAAGCGATCTGCCAATCGCTAATAACCAGGTTTCTATTTACTGTTACAGAGGCTTACGGAGTAAGGAAAGTTACCTAAGGTTTCACCCAGATACTCTCGCTTGCGAGGCGAGTTTGAGATTACTGGTACGTTTGAGATTAGCAACTGCCTTGTTGAGCTACAACTGAGGGGCCAGCAAGAATGCTTTCTACATGAAATCCGAAGAATAAAAAGGAGATAAAAATAAATTCCCTTTGAGAAGAAGTTACAGTAAACTAGCTGACCATCAGGCAACAATGAATTGAGAGTATGAGTTTAATTCACAAAGCACCTATTTTGCTAAATTTGGAATGCCATATAATTAGAAATCCCCATGAATCTTGAAAATGTTGGAACTTCTTCAATAATTATCCTTAATCCACACATGATATAGCACCTTTCAAATTGAAAGGATGTCTCAAAACTTCAGAGGAATTACTGTAAACTGAAGTGACTGGAACAGCCATGAAGTGAATGATCAAATTTTTGGCGGGGGGTACGGGGGTGAAATTGAGCAGGGAGCAACTCCCTTTTTGTATAGTGTTGTGGGATCTTTTAGTCTCTTCTCTTTTCGTATAGATCCCATGGCACTGTACGAAAAGAATAACAGGCTAACGATTCCTCAAAAAATACAAAGCAAGCACGGAATTAAAAAGCCTTCTTTTTCATTTGATCAGATAATCAGTATCTCGGTTTAATTTAACGTCTCATCTGAAGGACCGCACCTTCAGCAACACAGCACACTCCTAGCACTGCACTGGAGTGTCACCCTACACTTTGTGAGTTCAAAATCTCAATGTGCAGCTTGAGCGCCCAACTTTCTGACTCCAAGATGAGGCTGCGACTTACTGAGCCAGGCTAACACAAAGAAGCAACATTTAGAAGACTTTGGCTTACAGTCAACTAAGTGGTTTAAAAATACTATTGGTGGAAAAGCACATACTTAGACATAATTAAAGGCGTTCACAAAACTTTTATTAATAGGAACATAGGACCAGGAGTAGGCAATTCAGCCCCTCGAGCCTGTTCCACCATTTAATTAGATCATGGCTGATCTATATCTTTACTAGAATTTCAAATCCATGATGAACAATTTGTACAATTATTCTTTGCTCTTATGATATTGGGACATAGAATATTTATAAATATGCCCAAAATGGAATCAAAGCATACGATGATTGAGGCAAGGTAAAATTCTAAATAATTTGCTTAAAAATAACTGGCCAACAACTAACCACACTAATAAATCTATGACCAGAATAATTTGTTATAAAATGTGCACATATCTAGGAAGTACATCTGATTCAATTATTAAGAAAATTAAGCATGTTACTGTACTTGTTTGATAAAGGACATATCTGCAATCAAGGCATCTAATTTTTCTCATATTTGCTAATCTTACAATGTTTTAAGGCATTTACCACTGTTTCATTCCCTTCCAAACACATATTTCTCAATTAATGATCTTTAAGGTTAAATTTATGGGAATCTCTGGTACAAGGATAAGATCAAAGTTTGTGTTCAATTTGGGAAGCCCACTTGTTTCAATGTTGAAGTTCTTCAGCATCTGAAAAANGAGGAATAATTGAGAGAATCAAATATTTTAGTTTCTTTCAGATGAGAGACCAAAGAACAATCACAAACATGAACCAAATAAGCCATTCTGTCCATCCAGTTCATCCTTCATTTTGATGGCAGGTCAAAAGTGGTTTTACCACAGAAATACATTTTATTTTTGTCCTCAAATTATGCCATTACCATAACATATTTTAATGGAGAGGAACTTTAACTTTTCTAAACTCTTGTTTAAAATGTAATTGGGAAAAATCGAAGAGGCTTAAGATTCCTCAAAAAATGCAAAGCAAACATTGAATAAAAAGTCTGCTGTTCCTGAAAGATAAGATTTTCACTGACTTGTGTACAAATAGACTTACTTGAATTAGAAACAGCTGCATTTCTGTTTCTGCAATCCTGCGACCAATGCACTGCCGAGACCCAAACCCAAAACCTAGATTTTTGAAATAGTTAGTTTCTGTTTTCAACCACCTTTCTGGGATGTACTGCTCTGGGTTGGTAAAAATCTCTGCATTTCTTCCCATTGCATATAAGCCCACTTGTACTAAGGTCTGCAAAACAAGGAAAACAATTCTAAATCAATATAGTTTCTAAACGCAGCCCACATTTCAACCTAGTAAAATATAAACTTTTACAATATTAACCAGCAATAATCTGTTTTACAGTGTTGTGTTGTGTAATTAGTTGTAAATGTATCAAATTAATTTTTTAATTGATGTAAGCGTGATGGAATTGTCTGTTTATAGTGGTGAAGTAGGTGAATCAAGTATATTTACTGGTAAGCAACAGTAGGGGCTTATAAATACATAATAGATTACTTGGGCACAGTGGACACCCGGCACTGGTGAGACTTGTACCCTCAGAAGAAGTGACAAAAAGAGAGAAAAATAATACATCTAGGAGAGGAAGGGGAAACGAATACATATGTTTAGAAATGAGATTGTGCACTAAACTCTACAATTAACAACATTGCTGGAGGCTGGTGTATGTTCCTGCTCAATGTCACTCCTTTAAAGCAGGATGCCTGATCTGCTTTGAATGAGTGATATTAAAGAATGTAATTTGCATTTTGTGGAACTAAGTGGCATTCTGCCACATATAATGGTGATACCAAAAAAACAATCTAAACTCTGGGAAATATTAGCTTACTTACATCCAGCAGCTGTATGGGCATTCACTGATTGCTAAAAGTTAAAAGGTAATTAATTGCATGTGTATAACAGACAGCACTTCTATAAAAGTGCCCATGGCTTCTTACCCCAGTTGGTATTACATAGTTCTGCAATACAATATCTTCAGTTATATATCTCTGTAAGCTTACTGCTACTGGGTACAGCCTGAAATTGAAAGTAAGATGGCAGTGAAACCATTTCATTAGCATACCATGTCTACAAAGCTCCATTTTTCAGATAACGTTAACATTTATCAGACAGCAGTGGAGATTTAAGATCATATTTGTGCCAACACAGTGGAAAATGGAGTGAAGCCTACCTAAGGAGTTCCTTACTCCTTTGTGTCTGCTGCTAATTATAGTTGTATATAATAATCCTTGCATTTGATATAGTAACAGTAATAATAATTATCCTTCCATTGATATAAGCTTACAGTTGATTGCTGTCAAGGGTAATGACTATGTGCTTGCAGGCAAATATGACAGCCAAATTGCACACAGAAAGGTCCACAAGTGAATAACCAATGTACCTGGATGATTGTTGACCAGGACACCAGATAAGATGAACTCATCATCATCAACCCTTTCACAAATTTACTATCCAGAAGTAACTGGATAGCCATCACAAGTAGAGCATTAGGGAAGGATGCTTTTGTGCTTCCATTAATCTTCTTATGAATGGATTTAAATAATAATAATCCTTGCATTTGATATAGCGCCATATCATGCCTTCGAAATGTCTCAAAGCGCTTCACAGAATATACTGTACATTGAGTAGCATGATGATAGCCTTGTAACCTTCTTGTTCTTTATCAGTACCTTAATCAGTCTGAGAAATGTATATTCACTTGCCTTTTGTTTAGATAACCATAAGATTTTGTTACCTCAGTGTTTCCTTCAGTGTAGCTTTCACTAGTGGCACAAATTGTAACGTCTTGAATAGATCACCATGTGTTTCCTGCTCAGCTGCTAGAATCTCATTTCGTAATTTCTCCTGTAGGTTGGGGTTCCTGGCAAGCTCGTACATAGTCCATAACAAAGTGATTGAGGTCTGTTTTGTAAAAAAGAAAACAATGTTACAAGATAAGCCAGGTATAGTACATAGGCCCCCAACACAGGACCGAACTCTTTCAGAAATAAAAAACTTGTATTTATATCAGGGATGGCCAACTTGAGGTCCATGTGACTATTTTATGTATGCATAATGCAGCCCATGGGCCACAAGTTGGCCATCACTGATTTAAATAGTGCCCTTCAGGTAGGATAATGTCTGAATGTTTACCATGCCATAGTCGGATGCTAAGCGAGGGAGAGCTCAACCATAAGTGCACTCAGAGGTAAATTATAAGGCACTATTTAAATACATAGAGAGGGGGAAAAACAGAAGTAGAAGGAGGTCTAGAGGTTAGGGGCAAAGTAGCTGAAGGCTCGACCAAAGAGAATCCTCAATATATAATATACTACCTTTCACCTTTCCTAGGTGTTTGAAGTATCTCCCTCAGTTTTAAGTGTTTACATTCATTTGAATGAAGGCACAGAATTAAAGAGAATTCAATTTGTGCAAGAAGGGTTATTGAAAAAGGGAACAACGATCATGTGGTACCAATAATGCTCATTAAGTGGGTAATTATGTATAATCAAATTCTTGTTTAGCCCTACCTCTGATAGTATAGCAAACAGAACATATAATTAGTTATCCAGCTACTTCTGGATAGTAAATTTGTCAGAGGTTGATAACGATGATATCTGGATTGTCCCCACACCTTCTCCTGGTGTCCTGGTCAACAATCATCCAGATAAATCGGTTATTCACTTGGGGGACTTTTCTGTTTACATTCATTACATCCAGACGAGATCACGCCAACTTTCTGCTCACAAGACTACCTGTTTCTTCCATTCACAAGTTACAGACTATCCAGAAGTCTGCAGCTTGTGTCCTTTCCTGCACTCGGAACCGCAAGCCAATCACCACTATATTTACCTGGTTCCACTGGTCCCCATCTCCCAGTGGATCAAGTTCAAGATCCTCATCCTCACTTTTAAATCCCTCCATGGTCTTGCTCCACCCTACCTCTTCAACCTCCTCATAAACCTACTTCTTTCACTGTACTGTTGGTCAATATGGTCAATCCCTCCTCCTCTTGCTTAATGATCAACACCATCTATGTAAAGGTGCTTTAAAATATTATCCTATTCGAAAGGTGTTATTTAAGTGCAAGTTATATTTTATGCCTTTCTTTGAAAGATGCCAAACCAAAATATTTTTAAGGACAGAAAAGCTTCTTTGGACTAAATAAACAAGTTTTCTGGCTCGTACTGTTCCACAAATATTTCTTTGCTATCTGGTTCAGACATTCATCAATACAGTACAAATTTACAGCTATATAGCACCTTTGACTGCATGTAGGGATGTTTTCTCAAGGGGCTTAATGCAGCTTCCTCTAATTAAATACCATCTTCTATGAAATAACCACTTTGGTAATAATGCACACAAGTATAATTGAACTTTATTTTTATTCATTAGTTGGACATTTGATGACGTTTATATAGCCTGTGTATTTTGCACTGCTTTAAATAATATTTTGACTGCCTTTTAAATGATTTAGAGTACCATGGCATCTCTATCGATGTTTTGAGTGAGGGATGAGAGATGGAACCTTGCTCCCTTTTCTAGTCGTAAATTTAAACAAACGGTATCACTTTTGCTAACCTTGGTTCAGTTCTATTTAAAATACTGAAAAATAACTCAGTTCTGTTTTGCCTATGCACCACACCAGTGCAATCAAAGAATAGATGATGCAGCTTTACTTGCAAAAATATTCCAGTTTCAGAAAATGTATTTTAAGGTAAACAAAAGCCAACATTTCTTTTACAGCTTTCACCATTTGTGCCTCTTATAATTCAGTATTGGTTAGTAAACCAGAGACCTGAAATTCTATCTAGTCTTAACCTGTTAAATCATTTTGTCTTAAATTTTAAGATCGACCAATTTCTTAATTTGGAAGAATGATTTTAAGAATTTTCCATAATTCTACACAAAAGCAAGATTTAGGGAAAACGTTCTTTCAAGCTGAGACTAAGTGGAATTTTTGTCTTACCGTGTCAACTCCACCTGCCATAAGCTCCACAATGCTAGACTTGAGGTTGTCTATTGGTAGCTTCTCTTTTATCAGAAGATTTGCAAGAACCCCAGAATACTCTTTTTCATTTATCAGTCCCAGATTATACTGTTGGCGTATTTTTTCTATACAGATATTTGCTGTGAATGAAAACAGAAAATAAATGTTAGTTTTACACCCAATTTCAAATAAAATGATACCTAATTCATTGTTAAAATCTGAGTTCTATATCTTAACAATTCAATCACCATTTTGAAAAGTTTACATTTAAATGGGAATTCAATAATTTATTGTATACGTCACTGTAAATTACAATATTGATGTTTATTTGTTCTGACTTCTTACCATGAGCAAAAATGACATCCCAAGCATCAACATGGTCTACCCAGATCTTTGAGTTGATAAGTTTCAGTAAACGAGGCGGAATGTAAAGCATCGGTGTTGTGGTTCTGAACATCAATGTAATGGAATCAATATATTGTTGACATGCTGTTTTTTGTGAATCCTCTAGTAAACCAAGACGTTCTCCATATAATACATGGCAAATGGCTATAAGAGTCAGACAAATGAGAATTTTCATTATTGTCTGTTTGATTTACTGCACAAATCCTGTACAAGTTGAAATAAACTGATAAAACCAGCTACTAATTCAGACTCTTCTGGAAAAGGCATCTTTTAAGATCTATTATCCCCAATTTTAGATTATTATAAATAGTTTCAAAAATGTACTCTTACACCTCAATACCTCAGAAAAACAAGCCACAATAACCTTTTCTTTGCCGTGCAATGTATTTCTGCTAGGAAAGAGAAAGCACAATTACGTGAGTGATGTACTTCACATCAGGTTATGTTTTTCAATGAATATATCTTCTGTCAAACAGAATTAGTGATGAGTTAAAGTCTGGTGGGTGAATTTAACAACGCAATGATAAAGTAGAAGCAGGTTGCTCTGTAACCCTCCCAATAATAGTCAATATCCCACACCTTACTTATGGTTGACTTTTTCATCAAATAATTCAAAAAACAAAACAGTTTAATAATACAAATAATACTTTAGCTCTGCTAAAAAATGGCATGAATCAGATTGGAAATTTGTATCATGGTTCAGGGTCCGAAACACTGACTGTCCAGTGCCTTGGGACATCCTCCCAACATGAAAGGCGCTATACAAATGTAATTTTGTTGTTGTTGCTGCTTCTGTTGTAATTTATGGTATATCCTGTGAAGCGCTTTGGGACATCTCGCAGATGTAATACGCTGCTATATCAAATGCAAGGATTATTATTATATGACTCATGACGTAGTTTACACATATACATAACACAATGTGTTACCAAAACAAACAGTTTGGGGCTACACTAAAATAGTTCATCAAATTACAGCTGAAATTTTTGACCTTGTCAAAGGTAAAAATAATAGTTTGAAAAACCATTTTCAGAAGGTTGTGATATGTTAATAAAACAAATAAGTATATAAGTAAGAATGAACCCTTACATTCAAGTGAAAATTTGAAGAGGTCATTCATGGGTTCAAATGTCCATTCATCTTTGCTATTCTCCTTAATCCGTTTGTGAAGCATGGACACAAAATCCAGCACTACATCATTAATGAATGGCACAAACTTATGAATAATGTTGGGTGCAATAACTTCTTTATTCAAAACCATTCGAGTTTTTCGCCACTCTTCCCCATTTCTGAAAAATACAAGACCGAAGCCAAGCATTAAAATGATTCTCAACAAGTTACCAAAAGAATTGTGCTTTGAGTATTTACAGAAACAAGTGCTGGTTGCAAATAATATTTGGAAGTAATGCAGTTACATTTCTGCACCACATCTATAGATCATATTAAGAAACCAAGAGAGTGGAGCTCAAGCAGTTGATAATTGTCACCTGAAGATTAGTTTTAATATGTGATATCATTCGGATATCTACTATGGGGAAGAGACACAATGAGCTTCCTGATATGGCTGACCAATAGCTATGTAAAGTATTATGAAGAAACTGGCCACAACACTGATCTTTTTAGTGATTTTTGCTACGGTGTTTTAATTAACTTAGTATCAGTGCTGTCAAGCTTTGAACAAGAGAGCCCAGTGAGTAACTTCCCTGTAATCTTCTGGACCAATGTCTGAATAAAATCAAGTTGATCAGCAATCTGAGTCTGGTTCCTAAGACAGGCGGTCCACAGAACTACTGATGACAGACCAGCCAGCCTGGCTTATCAACAAGAAGATCAGGGATTCTTCCCACTCAGTTCCTGTTAACTCTTCAAGCTAAAGCCTTAATGGGTAACGTCCCAGTTGGACATGCAGTAGGAAGACTGGCAGACAGTGCTCTCAATCTATGCAGTTTTAGCTGGTTATACTCCCAACAGTTTCCCAACAAACACTCTAGTTCTTGTCAACCTGCACCTTATTCTCTTTGGAAGTGAGGTAAGCAAGTGCATCCTTTCAGGAGAGAGTGCATATTCCATTCCACACGTGTGGAAATTTTTATGTGCAAGTAGCATGAGTCAGATATCCGGCTCACCAAAAAAAAGGTCCGAAGCAGAATAATCTGATAAGGAAATCAACTTCACAAATTTGCAATATAAACAATTGAAATAGTCAAACTATTTATACTGGGGAATCCTAAAGGTTGCAATATTGACCATTGTGGGGTCCTCAAGCCTGGCCTCTTGCCAACCTGAGCCTAAAGCTCTCCTGAATTAGTTAAACAGGGAGAGTGTGCATTGTATTCCAAGAAAGGATTTTCATATGTAGGTGGCAAACATGAAAGCCTCACTCTCCTTTGGATACTCTTAATGGTACTTATTCTTACTGGTAATAGGTAATATGATTCAACAACAACAACTTGCATTTATATCATGCCCTTCACCCGTGGTAGTGTCCTGGAGCGATTACACAAGTGTCAAGACACCCAACCGATCAAATAAAGCTTACTGTAACAGTACTCCACATTTTTGCTTTCTGTGTTCTCTGTAATCCAACCATGGTAATACACTCAGTCTTCTTGGAAACATGCCTTCAGCTTTAAACAAAGTAGCAGCATCCTCAGGCTTAATAATGTTTACACTACCATAGTGACCAATCTGTTCCCTGCAAATGAACAAAAAGCACAAGATTATCAGGATCACATAGTTTGCTGAATAGTATGCAGCAAACGTTCACGACAGTTATAGTATTTTAGCCAACATGGGTTCTGAAAGGGTAGGTTTGTCTAGCCAACTCATTAAAACTTTTTTGAGGAGGTTACCTCTCTAATTAACCATGGCAAGCCATATGATGTAGTACATTTATTCGCTCTTTACCACTTTCAAAAGGCATTTCACAAAGTATATATGCAAAACTTCTTCATAAACTGGTGGTCACTGGGTATCAAAGGCAAGACATGGAATTAGAATAAAGTAATTATATTTGTAACATTTTATTACTTTAAATCATGTTTTGTATTTATTTTCGTACTAGCTGCACCTGTTGCAGCTTTGCTTGCAACCAAAGGATCCAATATGGAATGTAGATTGACACACAGAGAGACTTAGACAGACATTTTCATCTTTATCTATACTCAGCTGGGAGGACTCATGTGGTAGGACTCATTGGGAGGACACCTTTAATATATTTTCTCTCAGTCTGTCAGTCTCTCTCTCTCCCAGTCTCTCTTTCTCACTATCTCAGTCTCTTTCTGTCTTTCTCGCTCTCTCACTCAGTCCCTCAGTTTCTCTCACTATCTCAGTTTCTTCCTGTCTCTCCCACAAAACACAGTCACTACACTTTATAATATATTTTCTCTCACAGTCTCTCTCACTACCTCAGTCTCACTCTCTCTCACTATCTCAGTCTCTCTGTCTGTCCCAAGTGGGAGGACGCTAGATCCCATGACAGCCGGAAAAAAATGCCATACATTTGTCGCAGAATATAGATGTATCTCTCTGAACGGTGTATGCTTTCCTCTGTCACGACATAGTTGCAAAATACAATGCATACCTCATATTTTGGGCTTTAAAGCATTTTTTAATATAGCTCATCAACAATAGGAGATTCCCCCCAAAAAAGTATGCTCATGACATTGCCAGATGCAGGTGCGAACTGAAGATGGGGAAGGAAGGGGCAAGGCAGAAGGATAGAGGAAGCGTGTTCCAGGAGTTTCGGGAGTAGTAGCTAAAAGGTGCAGCCGCCGAAGGTGGAACATGCAGGAGACCGAAGCCAGTTGAGCCGAGGCAGCGGTTAATGGGTTGGGGAGTAAGATCAAAGTAAGCAGAATATACCAGCTGGGATTCCAAGGGTTAAAACAATAACCGAAAAGTACTCAACGCACAGCCAACCAAAGAAAGTAAAAACAGAATGAAGACATAGTGAGCCAAAAAAANGGCAAGGAAAATGAAACAAATTGAAGATTAAAAAGACAGGAAAGGGCAAATTAAGTTATAACACTGTATAACTTACTTTTCCTGTGTACTGCGCATAGTGTGTCAGTTTGGCTCAGTGGTAGTACTCGTCTCTGAGCCAGATGGCTGCGAGTTCAACCATCTGGGATTTTAGCTCACAAAGTCTAAGCTGACACGCCAATGCCATGCTAGGTGTGCATTGCATTGTCAGAGATGCCATTTTTCAGATGAGACGTTTAATTGAGGTCCTGTAGGCGCTATACCAAATGCAAGGATTATTGTTTTCACTGCGTATGCTTGGTCAGATTCACGTATACACACACTTTGGATCAAAGTATCTTTTTACCTGTGTGCGTACAGAGGAAAATTTGCAGCAAAACAAATATTAATAAACACACAGGAAAATAAGCTATAGTGTATAAGAAACATATGGTCATGGTCTGTGAACACTATTTGAAGTCTTGCAGTCAATCAGTGAATGTCAAAACAAATGATACAAAATTCACCCAAATTATAAATCCAGTACCAGTCTAAAACAAATGTTTGCATTAATTAATGTGTACTTTACAAATTAAAATCATTTTAACAACAAAACATTAAAACATGTTTATCTCAAACAAGAATTATTAGTAAGGTGCACCTACCTGAAAATCGGTCCATACATATCGAATTTGTTTACCATGATTTTATGTAAATTTTTGAAATCATTTTTCTTCAGGATCTTATAGAGGGTACTCCACTTGGATTTCCACTCTCCTGGCAATGTATCGTAAGATTTCAGAGCATTATTGGAAGAAGAAACATAGATTTTGCTTGTTGCTGAATTATTTCTGTGGATGATGAATGCATTTTTATTTTCTGGACAGGCAACAGATTGTCGGTTACCATAAATACTGCCAAATGCAGGTAACCGGAATCTGTATCTAATCATTATAACCATGCTTCGAATGGGTTGAAATGATCAGTGCATTTACTTTTCAAGTCTGATTACTTCTTCATTGGCGGCAGTTTTTATATCCCATCATTCAAGGACAGGGATACGTTGCAAAGAAACATTTTTGCCAAGGGCATCGATTCTGATGTCAAAATGTAAATCTTAATTTGCAAATTCCAAAAACAAATTGCAAAGTGCCTCAACGTCACAATGACAATCAATAAAATTACATTTGTACAATGACTTTCAAGTTGGCATGTCAAAAAGGGGAGAAGCTGAGGTACTCCAGAATGGTATTCCAGAGAGTGGAGCAGGAAGGCTGAAAGCTCAATAACTTATGGTGAGGTAGACAGGGTGGGTTGTTATGAAGCAGGCTGTCGTTAGCTGAGTGGAGGGAGTGACTGGGGTCAGGGTTAAAGAGAGGTTAAGGAGGCAAAGAAAGTTCTTGTTCGCAGATGGAAAGAATGTCATTGGCAAATCCCAGACTGGGTAACAGCTTACGTTTCACCTTGTACTGTGCAACGTGGTATTTCGTCGTTATCAGCTCATTTATTCGCCCACAAATACAGTCACGTTTATTAAAAAAAAACTATTTTGCTAAACGTATGCCTGAAATATAAAATGAAATCCTATTTCCGTTCCATTAAAGAACTGCAAATTCTTCTTTAATAAAAAAATATGTATTCTTACCTATTTAAATGAATGCCTGTGTTTATCCAGACGAACGTCTTTGTTGCTGAGGAGAGGATGCCTGGCAATGATGTCGGGGTTGGGGGGTGGGGGGGAGGGAGGGAGGAGTTGGCAATGACAAATTACATTTGTATAACGCCTTTCACGTCAGGAGGACGTCGTCAGGCGCTCTGAGGAGAGACTCAAATGGGACAAGACGCCTTTGGTCTATTTCAGCTCATCCTTCCAGAATAACAACCCACTGCAGAAGCGAGCGGTTTCTTAACTGTCCCGTTACATGTTCTGAAGTGTCTTGGCACCTTTCCGTGGCAGGTTTCCCCCCCCCGATGTCCCCTTTGGTGCAAAGGGTCACTCCCACGCGCGTCCGTCCTGAAAAAAAAACCGTCCTTCGCTGTCGGGAATGGAGCACAAGGGATCGGTCGCGAGCCTCAGCCGCCGCCATCGCCAACGGGTCAGCGCGGCTCGCCGGGCCCCATCGAACAGCCGCCTCTCCCGCACGGTCGCCTCACCCTGACGTCACGGGGAGAAGGTGCTGGAACAGCACGTGACGCGCTTCGCGCAAGCGCACACGGCGCGGGAGCGAGCGTGTTCGGGTCGTCGCGTTCCCCGGCGGAGGGTGACGAGAGGGCTCTGCCCGAGGGCGTTTTTACGTGAGAAACCTCGTAAGAAAGGTACGAACGTAAGAAAGAAAGAAAGAAAGAAAGAAAGAAAGAAAGAAAGGTGATTTTTTTTCAAATTAAATTAATTTAAAAAAATTAAAAAAAAATCCGCGGTTTTATTTTAATTTAACTGCCTTCTTTTTTTACACACACACACAGAAAAAAAAATCAGTTGTTTTTGACCGATTTTATTTGGCTCCGAAACGGAATGGGACGTCCTCCTGACGTGAAAGGCGCAATACAAATGTAATTTATGGTTGTCGTTGAGTCACTAAAATAACAGCCAAAATACTGCAATGTACTGTATAACAGCATCTTCTCATTGGACCATCCACCTGTCGATTAACCCCCATTATGTTAGTCCCCCTCACACCATTGCTGGATACCGGGGCACTGGTCTCCCGAACTAACCTGAGAGAGATTCGTATGGACAAGACCTCTTGGTCCTATTTAATCATATCCTTCCACAAGACGAGCTGTACCATCTTCCCAATGCAGCAGTGAGCCGTTTCTTAAATGAGTCCAGTGTCCTGGCCCCAAGTACCTGTCTCAGGTAAGCGCCCCAGTTTTTGATGCTCTTTGTGCGAAGGGTCGCTTCCACGTGCCTGTCCCAAACGTGTTGGTTGTGAACCTCGTCAGCTGCCATCACCCCACGTAGCCAGGAACGCTTTTCAGGCAGTTTTACTTTGGCTTGTGCTACCCATTAAACAAGTTCCCCAATCAACACAGAAACCTCGCCCTGAGGTTACGAAGGGGCGAAGGTGCTGGAAAAACACACGATACACTTTGTGCTCTGCCACTGTCAAGCGCTCTGGGACGTTCCCCCTCGTGAGGGGCGGCGTATGAATACAAGTTGTTGTTTGCGCTGGCACATAGTGTGAGTGTTTGCCCTGTTCCTCCAACAAGTGACAGGCGCACTGCATTGCGGAGTGACACCCTGGCTGGATAACATTATTGAATCTTTTGTTAATTGGGAGCATAAATTTGCATAACATCAGACAGCTATAACAATATGGGAACTCAGATATATAGAAAACATAGCAAGTATGGCCAGGACTGGCCACCAGTATAACATAAGATTATAACTATAGATGACTTAATATTATGGGAACCCGATTGTATTGGGAAATATTTTGACCATAAAACTGCAAATTCTTTCTTTCAAGTCAACAATGTACAGAAGTGAAAAGGGTTGGTTTTCTGAAAGTGTGAGCAGACAGCTCTGCAATCTTTGGGGTACGTACTGTAGTTCTGTATTAGAGCATCTGTATTTTGTTTATTTCCAGTGATATTGAATATGGTGTTCTGATTAACAGGATATTTTGAAGGTTTCAGTGTAAATCATTGCTTTGGGCAGGATTCAAGAGGTATATTTTGTCTCTTTGCCAAGGTCCTACTTTATTTTATACACTAAACAATAATAGCTCTTTAAACAATTGAAAATATTATGCAAAATTTCAGACATAAATCAAATAGCCTGATTTTTTAAAGACATGGCTTCCTTTCTTATGCTTAGGTATGGAAAACATTAATTTGTTAACAAGTATACTTTACATCATTGACAAGAAAAGCTTGTGTTTTGTTTTGCTTATTTGTAACATATTGTTTCTGTACCACTTCCGATAGTGTCTGAAGGTGGCATTATTACAAACTGGCGTTCTGCAGACTTCTTGTTTAGTACTGATGCTTCTCATCCTGACACACAGAGGTAGAGCATTTAGGATTTTATTTTAAAATTATTTGTAAGAGATAAGTGCCCATTTTGCACCCCTAATCAAGATAAGTAGTAAAAAAAAGTCTATTTCTTTAAAAAGTCACATGAAGACAAACCTTTTAATCAGTTAGATGTTCACCACGAACCTCAACATGAAATCTTAAATTGACAAGCGTATGCTATATAATGGTTCAACAGAAAGTGATCTCAACTTTCCTCCCTCCCTCTTAAATGAACACCTCTAAATCTTACGTCAGTTAATTCTGATGACTCTTCAGTTATTTAGAGGATTCAGTAGAATACATTGTTGTTCTAGCATTTTTTAAAAATATTTCTATTTTAATGTCATGTAAAATGCCCAGCTCTGAAAAATTCTATGAACTGTTTCAGTGATAAAATATTTATATAAGAATTACTTGTGAGAGTCATGGTTTACACTTGTTTCAATGGGCTGATCCATGGATGTATTGTATAATGTTTCAGGATTTTTGAGAGTTTAGAGTTTGTGGAAGACAATGCTACAGTTTTTCATGCAAGCTATTTGGTAGCATGTGAGCAATCTGGAATCAAGGGCACTGTAGCGATCGGTCATTTTCTACTTCCTCCTTCCTGTCTTCATAAAGGTAAGTGTAACTAAACAAATAAGAGAGAAATACTTTAGTGTTAAAAAGACTGACTTTGAAAGCCCCTGTGGCTTTTGACAAATCTTAAGCATTTAAAAGTCAATGAAATGAATTTTAAAAAGTTGTAAGGATAGTACGTAAGGTCTAGACAAAAGCAATGCCACTGTCAAGCACTCTGGGACGTTCCCCCTCGTGAGGGGCGGTGTATAAATGCAAGTCGTTGTTTGCGCTGGCACATAGTGTGAGTGTTTGCCCTGTTCCTCCAACAAGTGGCAGGCGCACTGCACTGCGGAGTGACACCCTGGCTGGATAACATTATTGAGTCATGTCTTGCGAATGGTGATTTTTTTTCTTATCTGAGCTCTGAGACCCTACCCTGGGTGGTATATATATAAGTGCAAATTGTTGTTATTCCAAGAGGTAATGCTAGGACTGCTATGCAGAGGAACATCCTATCTGTTAAAATGATAATCAATTGGAAATTTGCAATCTTATAGTCCTTGTACTAAACTATAGTTGGTGAAAAATAAACATTGTTAGTGACTATGCTCCTTAATTATTCCTGCAGTGTTTTATTTTGTTGTATTTTTTAAGATGCAACACCAATATCGCTGTAGGTCAGTATTATTCAGTAACTTTCTTTTTGGTTGAGACAAAAAACAATCAGTATCTTGCTGGATCCATTTTCAGGAATGCTGCAATGCATTATATCATGGAATGATAGCACGAGTATGGGAGCAAGGACAGATTCTCTCCTAACAGCAATCTGTTGCCTTTATCACTGAAGAGAAAGAAGAGGAGAGGAAATAGCACTGAATATCATTCAGTCAACATCCCAGGTCCAGAGGCAAATGGAGAACCAAACATCTTTCCATAAGCATCCATCCTAGCAAACACTTGTCTTCACCCATTGACAGTGTTCCGTTTCAAAACTATTGAAAAGGTTCTGATGTTTGAGTTAATGGTCTTAGCATTATATAATTTCAATATGGAGTAATATAACAAAATGCTATGTTTTCATTATTTCAGAAATTAGAGCAGCATTTGGCAACTTCATTTGGGAGCACGTGAGTCCTTCACAGTCTCAGCAGGTGTCAATGTTTTGCTTTTACATGTACACTAACTACTTGGCATGCTCAAACAACAACAAATTACATTTCTACAATGCCTTTCACGTCAGAATTCTGACTTGACTTTTTTTTCATTTTAGATTTCAACACAAAAGACATATGAAAAAGAAATGTTAAAAAGAAAGAACATTAAAATGTGCTACACCCAAGGCATGAAAATCGACCGAGCTGGGCTGGATGTATCTAACAATGACGTTGGGTTTGTTCATTTAATTTACATCTTTAACTGTTAAATGCAAAATTGCACCAATATCTCAATTGTTACAAAACAAATTACAGTGCACAAAAAGCAGTAAAACCCTTTAGCCATTAACTCTTTCCTTACGGTGTCTTTCACATAAAATAAACATTTTAGAGCACTTTACGGAATGAGATTAATTAGCCATGAAGCGAATGCTGTTAGCAGTCTGAGACGCTATCTTGCGTGAAGGACGCGATTCTAAATGCAACTTGTTATAGAGGAAACTTCAAGCAGTAATTTGCAGCAACAAAGTCCCCATAAACATCAATGAAATGAGTAGCCAATCAATTTCAAATTCTGGGATGGATGTGGAGGGAATGTAAACCCAAATAACCAAGATGAAAACTCTGCTTTACTTTGAAATAATGGGAGGAGTCCCCTTAAAATGCACCTGAATAAGGAACCTAAAGTAATAATTCCATTGAAATAGGGTGGTGATCCAGAGCAGCAAACCTAACATGGAGTTAGGGGCTTTTTATCAGGTTTGTTATAATTGTAGTCTAACATGAAACTGAGCTGCACAAGTGCCAAAGGATATCCAGGTTTAATTCTAATCTTCTGTTTTTGAATTCTACTGATATGATACAAATTCCCTTCCTTCCAGTTTCACTGTCATTTAAGCAGAATTGTAAAAATGGACATTTTGATTAAATCAACTCCCAGACCTGTTATTTTCATCTGGAACAAAATGAATGCAAAAGCAAGCAGAGAGAGCTTTGCTTACATGCATATGTTATTGAAGCTTTAGTTTTACTGCACACAATATGAGGGAAAGAGCATTTTGATGTCATGCTACAGTTAATAATAATAATCCTTGCATTTTCATGTCGGGAAGACTTCTCAAAGAGCTTTCATTGTAAAGTGAAGTAATTGTTTTTAGGCGAACCTCCACAATATAAATGCCAGAAAAGGGTAAAACCATCTCATAAAGTGCTATTATTAACCTATATCTTTCTGACTAAACAAAACTCTTCTGTTATTAAAATAAATGATGTAACTGGTGTTTAATGGCTTACATGGATAAACCAATTCTCACTGTGCAACATGTTTTCAGGGACCAGAATTCAGTTTTGAGAACATCATTGTTGGAAGAATCCTTTAAACCTGTGTCATGTTGTCACCTTCAACAAATGTACCCTGTAAACAACATGGTTACTGGTAAGAATTATTCTATAATTCAGCAAGATTGATAAAGTATGTTCACAGTTAATGCATATGAAAATATTGTGCCCTTCTTCATTCACCTGCCCTCCATGTATGAGCAATTGGAATTCACTATGGGACACTGTAGATTGCCTTTTTGCCAAGCCTTTTTTGTAAATGCAAACAGTTCATACAAGAACATTTTCATTTTTGGTTCTGTAATTTAGTCCATGAGTTTTGCTGCAGTCCATGCAGAATCTTGTGAGTTTTTCATTTCAATGTGTTTTGATGAATTTTTTTCCAGCTAAGTTATAATGATCACTTGCTATGCTTCAGTATTGCCTAACTAAGGCCAATCTCAAACGATTTGCCCCAGTTGATGGTGATTAGGCTGCCAATTGATGCTAGCTTCAATGTTCAAATCTGAATCAAATGCACTGAATCCTTGCCAGTGACTGACTTGTCTTCACTTTCTTCAATAACCTTAACTTAACAAAGTTTGAAGCCTGCACAAATTCAGCATAATTTGACACAACTGTCTTCAATGGTAAAGCTTCAATCCTCTAAAATCAGAAACTTCAGGTTTTCATTTCTATACAGAACCATCCCTCCAGTCAAGGTCAGATAGGGAATTGGATCAAAATGTTACAATAGCTTTTGTTTTTCCTCATTCCACACCCTCAGCATTCAAATAATAGCTCAGCTCTTTTATTAACTCATCCATCCCAGGATGTCAAGCCCATCGAACTATTTATCTCCATCAGCCATTCCTCCTGCTCTCTTCTCTGCCCTTCTGTAAATTTGTATTACTTGTTCCCCACAAAACAGATCTGTGTTTAGAGATTAGAGATTTAAAAATCATCCCCACAAACACATTTTGTGCAAGACATAGTTGGATTAACACTCAATCCTGGGAAAAATTGTGGAGAATCTACAACATTACATTTTGAATAGCGTCTTTCACTTCGGGAGGACGTCCCAAGGTGCTGTACAGCATTTCAAACCCGAGCTGGGGTCAGGGAGGGAGAAGGGAGGTGACCTAGATAATGCAATTTTTTTTTTGTTTCTGTAGGTTTTACTTCTGTTGATGAGCTAAAGAAATACCCAGGAGATTTGCATGACTTTATTCCAGGTGGTTCTGGTTACTCAGTGTGTCGCACGCAGAATGAAACAAACATGTTCTCAGTTTTAAAACGCACAAACCGGAATAAGTCTTTCATTCATACAAATTAAATCTACCTAAAGTTTGCCTTAGTCAAAAGAATGTCTTAAAATGGGAGTTTCAGTGTTGCTTTAATGTAGCCTGTTATGCTTTACAACCACTGGTAAAAGTTAAAGATAGAAAAAAAATGTTTACTATGTAAACTATTTTACTGTAAATTAAAATGTATTTTTTCTCCATTTATATTATTGCTTTTCGTTCTTAGAAACTTTCACATCAGATCAACTTTGCGTGAATTACTGTGCTTTCTGCTTCATAGAAAATTGGTTAACGTCACAGTTAGCAAGTTCATTGTATCATTGGGGTGAGTCACTGATTATCAGGCTCAAGAGCATTGATCCAGCCAACAAAAAAAAATTGCCTTTATATAGCATTGGGATGAAATCTCAAGGAGCTGGACAGTCAAGGGTCACTCAATCCACGACCGTTTATGGGACACTCCTGTGTCGCCCACAACATATACAGTCAATTCACTTTACAGTATATTCTGTGAAGTGCTTTGAGACGTCTTTAAGACGTGATAAGGCGCTATATCAAATTAAAAGTTTTTATTATTATTTCATTATCGTGACAAGATACTGTTGCAGACTTCTCTAATGATAGTGTTCTGATGCCATCTGCTGGTGATGGAATCGAGTGGCAATTATGAGGAAGAATTTTGAAATTCATGGTGCCTATAACATCAACACTAACTTTAGATGAAAGTGTTATAATAGTGTAGTAGTGAGTGCTGTAATGAAGGATATATGAAACTGTATCACAGCCAGTGCATTATATTGAAGTTGGGCTAGTGTTAGGGAGTTAGTGTTTCGTGTTATAATAAGAAAGTATGCTATAATGGACAATATACAACAATATGCTATAATGCACTTCTTAAAAAATACTTGTTAAAAACTTTGTTACACTTGCTGGTACCCTCCTTAATTCCAACACACCTTCAGTACAACACACCCACTGTAAACACCTGATCATAACACTTATAATAACAATACTAATCCTTGCAATAATAATCTAGACGTCTCAAAGTGCTTCACAGAATATACTGTAAAATTAATTTACTGTATATTTGTGGGCGAAACGAGGCAGCCAATTGTGCACAGCAGTGTCTCACAAACAGTCATGGATTGAGTAACCAAATTATTATTTTATTTCTTGAGGAATTATTATAGGCGCGTGGAGTAAGGAAATTTGCCCAGTGTTTCGCCCTGCCGGGAATCGAACCCAGGTCACTCACTTACGAAGCAAGTGCTCTTAACTACTGAGCTACAGGATTCCACTTATTCAACTTATTTTTGAACAATTTAATGTAAACAAAATCATTATTACACTCTTCAAATAGGTGTTGAAAGAAGCCTTCAATATTTTCCCTTTCAATAAACAAATACAAATTCTGTTCTTGGAACAGACATTATCCACAGTCGTTACCTAACAGAGATGGCCTCTTAAAGTGGTCTTCATTCAGTAGTCATCTAGAATTTAGACGTTTCCACAGTCATCCTTCTTAAACTTAATAGTTGCAAGTTTTTAATATTAATCCTTTCATTTGATTCAGCATCAGCATCTTATGTCAAAATATCTCAACATGATTCATTATTTGTCTCAAGTGCAATAAACATAAATTTCTAGGTGAACACAACAGTAAATTCATACATAGCAATGACCCACAAATAGCCTTGAAGAGAATGACCAATTTGTTACCTGGAAGGATTGTTCACCTCAACACTGGGACAAACTCCATTTTCTGCAAAGTGCCATGGGATCATGAGCATTCATCTGACCAGGCAGCTGGTTTTGAAATCTCATCTAAAAGACAGCAACACTCATCGAGCCCTGCATTAAAACGTAGAGGCAAGAGTGCTACAAACTGAGCCAACCTTCACGTATGTTGGATTTGTTACAAGCCAAAGAAAATTGCATTACCCTCCTCTTTAGCAGAGTGAAGACGACAAAGATGAGTCGATTTTAAGGTTCAGTTTATTTATTCTCATAACCTATTAAAAAATGTACAGTTTATCAGTAACATATGGTAAAATCATCACGGAAAGACATTTGTCTCCAACACTTATTATACAATACCAAACATTCAAAAGCTTAAAACTGCAGTATAGTTTTTGTTTGCCTTTGTAGACGACAATAAGAAACAAGCTGTGAATTTCCAATGGGGGGGGATGGGAAGAGAATTTAAAACTGCTTACAGAAAGAATGAAGAAACAAAGGTGAACAGGTGTCAACTGAAACTCCCCATCTTAAATTAATATGCAGGCCATTCAATGATGATGGCAGCCAGGAATTTAACTAATCAGCATGCACATTATTAGACAATGAATCAGGAATTGCAATGACTGAGGATGGGAAGCTGTTTGTATATTTGGCATATCTATAAATACAGTATAAAATATATACTGCCCAGACTTGCAAAGGCAGAGGACTTTGAACTGGTGGCTGAAGAGCCTTCAGTCTCTGCCCCCATCCACTGGAACTCTATCCCAGACCCACTGCCTTGCCCCCTCCCTTGCCTCCTTCAAGACCCTCCTCTTCGACCGTGCTTTTGGTTACCCTCCTACCCCTACCCTCCCCACCCTCCACGCCTCCTGATCCCAACCAGCTCGGATGTGGATCCCTGACCAGCACCTTAGGACGTCATCCTGTTGTGAAAAGCTCTATACAAATGTTATTTGTTGTTGCAAAGGAAAAAAAGGCAACTTACCAAGACTTATTTGTGATGGGTACCATGTCTAAACAAATACCTTCAGTGATATTTATTGTAGTGACTTTCTTCTGAAGAAACCAGACAGGTTTTCTGCACTGCTTTCACCATTTTGTGCTTTTAAGCAGAATGCCTTTCTCTAAGGTTAAAGAGTGGTCTTCTCTGCAAATACCAAAGGGAACTGGAGGTTTTCACATGCAAATTAAACCAGTGGTTATGTCCCATGCTCCAGGATTACACTAATTCAAATTAAGTAGCTTGGACTGTATAGTGTGGTATAGAGGAAGCCTAAATAGATAAGTGTTAACCTATTTAAAAATGTACAGATTTATCAGTAATGTTATATGGCAAAATCATCACGGAAAGATGTTTCCGTAAGTTAACGCTGGCTGAGTAGCAGAGACGTTGGTCCAGAGAGCATGATTTCACAACACTTTCTTCCTATTTAGAACCTTAAATTTGTGATTTGTAGGCAGCCTTAATACACAGCATTTCCAAACACTTCTTTAATTTTACATTGAGTAAACTATTTACACCAAATTGGAAAGGTTGAAAAAGAGTTTTAAATTTGGACCCTCCGATTCTGAAACAGGCCTACGTGGACTAACAAAAAGTATGTCTTGCAGCTTTAAAGTCTTTACGCATAGAAAAGGCAGAAGTGAAGTAAATGGGCAATTCTGTCAGTGGTTGACTTTCTCATCTGTATGTTCATGAATAGGTTGTTTTCTGGCACATTATGTATAAGGTTAAATTACAAACAAAAGTATGAAAAACAAACAACAGTGATTATAAATTCAAATAAAGCAAGCATACTTGCAAGTCAAGGCCTTCACATTCACAGCAGGCCTCTGTAGTGCAAGCTGACAGTTTTTAAGATCAAATAAAAACAGTACAACTAGCATGGAAGGCCAACAGCAATATCCACTCACTACTCCATAAATGTTGCATCCAGTAAGGTTGCTTGTGGACGGTAACAAGGACAGTTATATGACACTGGTGGATGAAATCCGAAGACGTTAGCAGCTGTTATACCATCTTTCGAGCAACATAGTTCAAAATACCACTGTGCTTGTAAAAGGTGACCTCCATGTTATTTTCAAACATAGCTACAGCTTTGAATGTCTTTCCTGCACTTGTCTGTAAAAGAGAAATTGTAAAATTTTTTGTTGAAAACGTGTATCTAGAACACTAAAACCAATATTGATTAAGATATCAAAACTTCAAAACACTGTTACTGAATTTATTTATTCTTCAAAAAAAAGTTATACAAATAGTCAAGAACTAAGTTAAAGTATATCCTTCAGAACTTGTAGGCAGTAGCTTGCTATCAACTGGGCACACTTCCAGTTACCCTACAGTAGAACCCCTTTAAAATGCATTCGATAGTGGTTCATAAAATCCCAACGTGCCTTATAATGGGCGTGATTGCTGATCAGCACTTCCGCATTCACCGTGCTGGACCAAACTGGCGAGAACATGATTTGAAGTGAGTCGACTGGTCCAAAAACAGTAATACTGACTAAACGTGGAAGGATTATTTTGTAGATGTTTGCTATGGCAACATTCTTCCAAATAGGGCATGTGTGAATCGGGATGTACACTGTATCCCTTGCTGGAGCTTCCACAGCTTCCCAAGAGGGGACATGCTGTTTGGATCAATATACCCAAAGAGTGAAGATTGTACTATACAGACAATCTCATGTTCTCTGCAACATAATTGTCAATAATAAAGCTTGCAAAGGAACACAGAAAAAGATCACAATGGACGATAAATATGTTCTTAATAAAAAAAAGGGTCTACTTCTGGTGTGTGGAGGTCAAAATAATTAAAATTACAAACAGTAAATTCTATAATTATAATATAGGATGTGTAAGATTTTGTATTCCTACCATTACATCTATTATTGTTCCAGGAGACAGATCTTGGGGAAGCTTGATGGTGTATTGTTCCTTCCCAGTAAGACCGAGTACTTCTGCATTTTCCCCTGGGAGGAACTGAAGAGGAATGACGCCCATACCAACTAGATGGTTTTTGTGTATCTTTTCATAACTCTCTGCCAAGATAGCTTTCACACCCTGGAACAGAATGGTATCACAGTAAGAAAGAGTTCATGAACCAGCCCACCAATTTAGTTAAACTTGTCCTTTAGAGAATCCATACAAAGCAAAAAAAAAAACTCCTTACCAGCAAATATGGTCCTTTAGCAGCCCAGTCTCTTGAATTGCCCAAACCATACTTTTTTCCAGCCAAAATTATCAGTGGAAAGCCCTCTCTGTGGTAGCGTTCTGCTGCATCAAAAACATCGAGCTATAAAGCAGAGAAGTTAGACAGCTTTATTCAATGGAAATACTATTAAACCACATTTAAGTTTTAATCCATTCATGGCAACAAGTACTCACAGTTTGTCCAGATGGGAAGTATATAGTTTTAGGTCCGGTTTTCCCAATAAACTTGTTCACAAGTCTAATGTTTGCGAAGGTTCCTCTCGTCATCACAGCATCATTACCCCTTCGTGCTCCATAAGAATTAAACTCACGAGGTGTGAGACTAAACAAAACACAACCAACACAATAAGTTACTCTTTGGGCTTTTTTGTCAAATTTGATTCATAAGAACATTACTTGGGTGAAGGTCTTGGAAGCGTTTTACAAAGACACAGAGTCCGGGAGAGAGATTCGTTTTTGCATAAAGTCAAATTATTTGTAGTTTGGTTATGCAAAATGGAGTGGTCCCAATTAGTGCTAGGGCGTTGCGACACCCTCCCGATGTGAAAGGCGCTATACAAATGTAATTTTGTTGTTGTAGTGTGGATAATTGACACTACAGCTTAATTGTAAAGCTCGCTGTGATTTAAAATCCACATCACTTACCCTTTGCTTGTCAGGTATCTAGCAGCAGCACTGTTACGGGCTATACTGCCTGCAGGAGATATGTGGTCTGTTGTAACAGAATCTCCCAAATGGAGCAAGACATGAGCATTTTCAATGGACTGAAGGGGGCTGGGTTCTTTGGTCTAAATAGAATATAAATATAAAGTTAGATTTTTTTTACTGGAGTTGTGAAGGTTTTCAAGCATTATGAGAGGATAAAATGTGAATTATTTTCACTGCTTGAGAGAGCAGAAATGTAAGAAAGTGATAAAAATCAGGATGGAGGTTGGCAAACATTTCTTTATACATAGATTTGAAAAGGGAAATAGAAAGGTGCTTCAATAAAATGTTGAAGGGGAGGGATCAGGAGACTGGAGTTAGATGAGTTGGGCTCATGTGAAGAGAAACTCCAACTCAGTCATAGTGCGTTTAATCTCCAGCTCCAACGTTCATTCAATGCAATGGAGCATTTTGTAAAAGAAGAAAATGAACAGCAACGACAATAAGTAGATTTTACTCACAAATGTATCAAAAAATGAAGGACATCTGATGTACGTTGATTTTGAATCCCACGGGTACAAATCTGACTCAGGAGCATCCAAGGCATTCCAGCGTTTATTTCCTTTCTGTGGGGGAAAAAAACATGAAACAGCAGATCATGTCTTTTGAATTACAACCTCTTAACAAAATCCTAAAGAGATTCAGCAAAATCTAAAACCAAAAAATAAAATAACAATGGTGATTTAACAACACTGAGCTTCTCGCTCATGTAATTTATGTATCCTGGACACCAACAATTCAGTGAATTACCAACCTCCATTTTTTCTCTCAGCTCTTTAAACATGGAAGGAATCACTTGCTGTTCTTCCACTTGCTGGATCTCTTCTCTACTGGGCCAAATATCACACAGGTAGATTTCTTTTCCTTTTGAATTGACACCTTAAAATAATGTGGAAATATTACTTACATTTTTAAAATGCATTAGAAGTACTGAACGTTTGGAAAAAAAATCCATAAAATAACCTAAAAGCTTACCTAAAGGTTCACTTTCGAAATCTATGTTAATCGTGCCAGCTATGGCATATGCTACAACAAGTGGAGGAGAAGCGAGGTAGTTGGCACAAACACAGTCACAGAGGCGGCCCTCAAAGTTTTTGTTTCCAGATAAAACTCCACATGCAACCAATTCACCCTGCACCAGAATCAGGAAAAAAAGGTAGTAAAATCCATCAAACACACAACTTTCTTCCAACAATGAAGGCAAAATCTAGCTCAAAGCTACAATCAGAGGTCTGTGCATTCCATCCAGTCCCAAATAACTGCTTTAAAATTACACAGCATCAATGTTCTCCCTTGGTACCTTTTAATTAAGTATTATCACAACAGCACGACAAGCACCTTCCAACAACATCCTACAAACATTTTTTTCTAAATACTTCTATTAGTGACTCACATTTTATAATACAACAGTTTTTAAAATAGTGTCATGTAGGTTTTTAAGTTAGGTTTCGAATAAACATAAAGTTCACAACAGTTATATACAGAATACAATACAAATACAGAAGATAATAATCCTCATATTTGATAATATATAATAATTCTTGCATTTGATATTAGTGCCTTATCACGTCTTCGGGACGTCTCAAAGCACTTCACAGGATGTATTGTAAAGTGTAGTGACTGTGTATTTCGTGGGCGAAATCTGTACCTTTCCTATGTTCATTTAAAAATCCCCTAACAGAGTAAGAAAACATCTGGTTACCTTTTTGATACCAGCAACAACAGAGTCAGGCAAAGGGGCAGTATTCCCAACACATGTTGCACAGCCGTACCCAATAACTTCAAATCTGTTTTTCCAAAGATAGAGATGCAAGATTTTAACATACATTTCCTCTTGCTACAATTTAACTTGTGCTCAATAATATTTGTAAACATATTCCTATTATTGAAACAAGTGCACTTCTAAATGCAAAAATTATACGAATACTGCAATGCAATGTTAAAATAGATTATTGTTTGCAAAGCAACAGGCCAATATTACATTTAAATTGACTTCAATAAACTAAATTAAATCTGAAGCTGCTTTTATATATAATGCTTATTTTATATTACACTGCAAGCTGCACGACTTGAGTGTCATTTTTAGTGCACCAGAGTTTAAAAGTAAAAGTACTTACCCCAGAGTGTGGAGATAAGGCAGCACACAGCTGGCATTTAAGTAATAGGTCACCATTCCACTTCCAGGAGACAGACTGGTTTTAATATAAGGTTTAACACACAGGCCAGCTTCAATAGCCTTTTTAGCCAGCAAGCCTAATGGGAATATGTAAAAAAAAATTCTAGTCAACTTGTCTCAATACATAGAACAAAGTAAATCATCCAAGCGGAATGTACCAGTGATGGCCCCTGTAGTAGACAACATCCATTTCCACATCCATTTGTCTAATGGCTATGGTTTCACAGCCAGATACCCTCACAAACCTCACTCAAATAGCTGTTTTTATGTGTAAATTTGACAATCAGCATTGGCAGATTATTCAACTGTAAAATGCACACAAACAGAATACCAGCAAGGTTACTGGACAGCAAGCAGGAGCAACAACTCTGGTGGAGTTTTTCTCCGTCTTGAGCCAATTATGACAATTGCATCATCCTTGCTCGTCTCCAGGTTTAAAATAATCCAGCAGAGCAGTTTGGGGGAGAGCACCTTTATGGCTCAACTACTCAGTTGACAAAGGGCTGAGGAATCAGAGTGGTTGATAAAGTGACTATTCTGGGTGCAAAAACATCCTTCCCAATAATGTCACAGGATTTAAACCAGGGTTCCAGAAGTCAAACTAATGTAACACATCATCAAATTGCTTAAACAGGATCAAAGCTAGAATTGTACTTTAATAATAATAACTACTCACATTTGATACAGCGCCTTATCACACATTCAAGGCATCTCAAAGCGCTTCACAGAATACACTGTAAAGTGAATTATGTATTTTGTGGGTGAAACTTGTCAGCCAATTGCGCACTGCAGTGTCCCACTAACAGTCGTGGATTGAGTGACCAAATGAATAATTAAGTAAAAATTTTTTTGAAGGGATTATTACCCTCGGAAAAGCGATCCACCAATCGACTAACAACCGGGTTCCTGCTTAAGGTTAGTTAAGCAGAGGTGTGTGGAGTAAGAAAACCTGCCTACCATTTCACCCTGCCCGGGAATCGAACCCAGGTCCTCTCGCTTGCAAGGCGAGTGCTCTAACCAATACATTACAGGTCTCCACATAAGGAGCAAAACTGACCAATGGAAAACAAATTTGAATGGGCTAATTATTAATGCACCTTACCTGCCCCCAACATGACAGATGGATTACAATTATTTGTACAGCTTATTACAGCTGCTATGACAACAGAACCATGGGAAAGCTTATAATCTTTTCCTTCATACTTAATATCAACAGTGTCCTTTTGCTTCTCTGGAGGAATTTGAAATCCTTTAAAACCAACCTGCAAAACAAAAATTAAAATCCATTTAAGAAAACCGTAACTTTAAATGAAAGAACTCTACATATAATTGCTGTTCTCCAATTTTCTTTCATTACTTTCTTCCTTCGATGACCCTCCTGATTACCCAACGTGAAAGGCGCTATACAAATGCAATTTTATTGTTGTCATTCCTTGACTTTCCTCAGCTTAACACATCCTGGTACAGCACGGGTCTGTTTATGGCATTATCATATTGTGACATAGTAAAGCACGTTATATAGCTTCTAGCTGTAACTGGTGAGCTTCTTGTGCATCGGTACAGAGGGCCTTCTGGAATCACTAAAAACACTTGCGATTTTATGGATCCAAACCGCCACATTATAGGATCCAATTGTATTTTAAGGCTTTCAGTTTGCCTCCCTATTGCTTTTGAATTAAATAAACCAGTCCAATATTAAAGGTTGCTGAGCAACTGGCAACCATACAAATACAATCTAAAATAAATGCATTTCTAAAGGATTATAATTGTGTTTTTACACAAGAATGTATGACAGAATACATGTCATGCACAACGCAAGATCTGCACAAGCAAGGACTTTATTTATTTTAGTTACTCACCTTTTCATTCAGGCTGTTTTGGAAATCTTTCTTCATGTCAGTTACTACTACTCTATCCTGAGGTCGTTTTGGACCACTTACATATGGTGCAATAGAAGACAGATTTAATTCTATGACCTGAGCAAAGATACACAAGGCATTAATATACAAGGCATTCTATCCATCATCAACAATATTCTATCAACTGATTAGCATTTTAAAAAATCTAACATATTAACTAACATTCCACCCATGGAGATATAGAATAAAGCTAAGGGGCTAGCTATTCTTTAATCGTTTTTGAAGGGGAAATAAATTCTGTTAATGTGTCCAACAATCCCAAACCACTAGGAAGATATCCAAACATCTGGTGTCACCTTTTAACCCACATTTTACATTTAGAAACAGTCCTTGGTCAACGTGCAAAATACATTTTGTGCATACTACTGCCGCTGAGAAATCATGAAGTTGTGTGCTGATCATATGAACGAACAGTCTCGCATCCCCAATCACATGATACGATCAGGAGCTCTATCCCTAAGATGCCTCTAATCATTAAGCATAAGTTAATGATTAAACACAGAGGTTCATTCACTTTTTAAACTTTAAAAAAAATCCCACTGTGCTCAAAAACGGCAGATTTTTACATTCAAACCAAAAACTAGCTCTGCCAGATTTGTATTCCATAATTGTCTGAACCAAGATTACATTTGTATATGTAGAAAAGAATTTTACACCATTCAAAACAGTCTACCATTCATTCCCTTCATAGGATCAAAAATGCCCTCATTTGGTTCAAAACAGTACAGCTCGTTTACGCTACCTGAGAATAATCAGGGTCTTGAGAGGAATTGTCATAATTTCTGAACAATTTCACAGCTTTTAAATAGGTTTCCACAGATTCAAGTTTCGCTTCACCATAGCCTATTTTTTTTAATAAAAGAAAAAGGTTTACATGTACACAAACAGAATTAGAAAAGTTTGAAACAAATTGTTCTAAGAATTTTAATACTGCCTCCTTACCTGTACATTTTAAATGCCTCAAAGTAACATCATCAACCGGGAAAAAGCTCACAGTAGCACCATATTCAGGACACATATTTGCTATAGTTGTTCGGTCTGCTACAGACAATTGCGACACCCCTGAGCCAAAGAATTCTACAAATTTTCCAGAAACTCCCACTTGTCGAAGTTGCTGCAGAACAATGAAGAAAATTAATCCAATTCTGTCTAGTCCTCTTTTACAAAAATGTTTACAGATAAAAGATTTTCCAAGAGAATTTTCTCCCTTACCTTTGTAATGCTTAAAACAACATCTATAGAAGTTGCCAGTGGATTAATGATCCCTACCAGTTTACACCCAACTACTTGAGGTAATGTGAGAGTGACTGGCTGGCCAAGCATAACTGCTTCACTTTCGATTCCGCCGACACCTAGAAAATAAAACATCATCATATGAAGAAGCAACTTCATTCTCTTTCTATGAAAATTCTTTCTTTGCTTGGGTGCCCAGCCAACAGTATCAAGCGCTTTGAGACGTTCTCTTGATGTGAAATGCACATATACATAAACTGTATTGCACTAGGAATTAATACATTATTTTGAGCCCTATTACAGAAGAAATGTCAGAGATGGAGTGAGTCCAGTACTGATTCACTAGGCTGATGCCAGGTTCAAGACAACAACAAAAACTTGCATTTACTTAGCACCCTTCACAGTATAGTATCTCAGAGTGCAACACATATGAGGCTGGAAAAACATCAACCTCTCTTTTTCCCCCCCACTGCAGACAAGATTAGAAGGGGATATGATTGAGGTGTTTAACCTTCTGAAAAGGCTTGACAGTATAAAATGGTAAAACTAGTCTCTTTACTTGGGGAAATCTGTGACAAAGGGCACAGTCTCAAGGTTGTTGTACAGAAAATTGGGGGAGAGATTAGAAGGAATGTTTATATATTGATAGGATTTAGAATGCTTAACCAAAAGTAGCTACTGATTTAATAGATTAAAAAGCAAACCAGATAAGCATCTGGGCAGAAAAATATCAAATAATAATCCTTGCATTTGATATTGTGCCTTATCACATTGTCGAGACATCTTAAAGCACTTCACAGGATACACTGTAAAGTGGATTTACTGTGTATTTTGTGAGCAAACTGCAGCATTTTGTGAGCACATGCACAGCAATGTCCCACAAACAGCTAGAGTGAGTGATCCAGTTTTATTTGGGGGATTTGGTTTAACGTCTCATCTGGATGGCACAGCACATCCGACAATGCAACACACTCCCAGTATTGCATTACCGTAAGCTTAGGCTGTGTGATTACAAGTCCGGGAGTGGAACCCACAACCTTCTGACTCAGAGGCGAGAAGGCCACCACTGTGCCAGGCTGATATCCAGGATATTAGGGGAGAGCTTGATTAATTTAAAAAATTTGGGGGGGAAAAAAAATAGGAAGTAGTAGCACAGACACTTTTGGGAGGTACCGTGACATTTTTTTTCTATTTTAGAACATCATTTTCAAAGGATTTGGATTTCAAATTCATGACAAACTGAATATAAAATTGTGACAAAACTTAAAAATGAAAGATTAGTGAACAACCTTGCTGACTTACCCCACCCTAGGATTCCAAGACCGTTCACCATCGTCGTGTGAGAATCTGTGCCCACCACACTGTCAGGGAAGAAAACTCCACCCAGATCAAACACAACGCGAGACAGGTATTCTAAATTGACTTGATGCACGAGTCCACTTCCTGGAGGCACCACAGTCACATTCTGAAACACTTTAGAACTCCACTTCATCGAACAGAGTGGGGTTAGAAGGGAAAAAGAAAAACGTATGTGAAACCACACAATACAAACTGTCCTTATTTAATCACAATTATAATCTTTAATGTAGTTGTATGATCACAGGATTAGTGTGTAAAGAAGCATTCTGGGGCTGCAATTTGTAACATACAAATTACTTAATTCCAGAAACACATGTAACAACAAGAATTCAGTGAATGTGAAACTTGAAACAAGGTTACCTTGAGAGTTTCATAATGAGCTCATTTAAAATGTCATTTTTTTAAAAAAAATCTATATTTAAAGCAACAGATACCTTGAAAAACTGCAACCTCTCCTTATTTCTGTTGAATTCCATTTCTTGACTCCTTAGTACGTTTTCTGGTCTGTAGACAAAAATGATTGTAGTAAGAAAAATAACTGTTTTCAAATATTAAATTCTAAAGCATTTTTTGAATACACTGGTTTTAAGAATAATAATATTCTGCACAAACTTTAATAGTTCCAAAAATATGAAGTCAGTGAGATACATTTCCAATTATTTTGCCTATATTCACCTACAACTTCTTTCTCCCATTCCACCCCTCCAAAAAATAAAATCTTTCATGACAATGAAATGATTCTAAACTACCATTCTCAACCTCGATAGTGTAACCATATCTAGACTAATTTGGAAACAGCTGATCATTCAACATGGGAATGTCTCCAAGAAGAAAATTTCGTACTCTGCCACAGGCTGTAAGTGGAAGGGACAAAGCAATGGCGTATTCTCGATCTGCGCAGACTGTTTTCTTAAGCTGGACGCAGAACCTGCTTCGCTCTGGCATGGACTTGAACAGGCACCATAGCCTCTACACGGAGACGTTTTAGAATGTAGCTTTCCACCATTTGACCTTGTTCCTGCACCAGAAGCATCACCTCCGCCAGGGTTGGGAGCATTTTGTATTGCGCTGTCAAAACCAAAGTTGTATGATTACCTACTGACCAAATGAGAAATTTACAATGGCTATCAATTTTACATACTTTACAAACTACAATGGCTACATTTTGAATTATTTGTACATTTTAACCACAATGTAGATAAAGCTTAATTTTAAATCGACAGGCATTTTCTTTTCTTCTCTGAAAATGCAGCAGACTGAGTTTACAACTTAACTGAATAAAGAATATATTTTATTAGCAGCAGTATTTAATAGGTATATTATGTGCCCTTTAGCAGAGAAGACTTTAGCAATGAAACCTCTTCCTCAAATATTTGCAGAAGTAAATAGATTACAATCGATCACATTAATGACTACTGCACACAATAAATGTCCAGAAAATGTAAAGCAACTATCAACATGATCTTTCAAATGAATAATTTCCTTGCCTTTTACTGTAATCTATCTGCAGTGAATGGTCAACAATCAGATCAGTTGGACAGACAGGATTCACTTTGGCAGGATCCCCCCCAAGCTTCTTCACTGCTTCCCTCATGGCCGCAAAATCCACCACAGCTGGAATGCCACTGAAATAAAATGAACAACGGTGAGAAAAAGCAACTTTTCTCATCTTTCAGTGAAGCAATTCCTCGCTCCCGATATACACACAATTTTGACATTGTCGTGAAACACTAGGAAATATAAAAAATTATTTGACATTTTTACACTTAATGTGAAGCTGAACACAATAATAATAATAATCCTTGCATTTGATATAGCGCTTTTCACGTCTTCTAGACGTCTCAAAGCGCTTCACAGAATACTGTAAAGTGAATTGACTGTATATTTGTGGGTGAAACGCAGCAGCCAATTGCGCATAGCAGTGTCCCACAAACAGGGATTATTATACAACAACAACAAGATTTCATTTATAGAGCACCTTTCACATCGGGAGGACGTCCCAAGGCGCTGGACAGTTGGGTCGAGACCCGAGCAGGGGGAAAATGGTCAGGGGGAGGGAAGGGAGGGAGTGAGGAGGGGGGTAGAGAGTTGAGAGGGGAGCTGAAGGCACGGTTGAAGAGAAAGATCTTGAGACCGGCCTTGAAGGAGGAAAGGGAGGAAGCAAGGCGAAGGCACTGGGGGATGGAGTTCCAGAGCCATAATGATTCCAGAGCCAGAAACATAATAATTATTATTAGTAGTATAAATACCCTTTACCTTCACATCAACATAACTATAAAGTAAACATAAACCTCAATTTTCTATCAATAGAGTTATGTCTCACGTGAAATCTTGGAGGAGAACCCGTGCCGGCCAGAAAGGTACATCAGCATTGTTCTGCTGGTTTTTCCAATCAAGGATATTGAGAGCATCTTCTTTTTTTATGTGGAACCCATCACAATTCCGCACAGCAGCCTCAAACAGTACACGAATGGAGTAAGGTAACAACTCTTTTTTTTGAGGGTGGGGGAGAGGGAAGAGGAAAGAGGGAAAAGGTACAATAAGTTAATGTTCACTTTTAATTCAAGTAACAGATGAGTTTGTTCAGCACCCAAACTCTTGCTGAATTATCTTTCACTTAACTGAGAACAATGTAGTTACTGTTCATAAAAATGTTGGGCCACAATTACATGAAGAGTTGTGTAACAATAATAATAATCTCTGCATTTGATTTAGCGCCTTATCATGTCTTCGAGATGTCTCAAAGCTCTTCACAGAATATACTGTAAAGTGAATTGACTGTGGGTGAAACGCGGCAGCCAAATGCACACAGCAGGGTCCCAAAAACAGTCGTGGATAATAACTAAATTATTATTTAAATTTTTAAAAAAATGGAATTAATACCCCCGGAAAAGCAATCTGCCAATCGACTAGGAGGAAGTGTGCATTGCAATTTGTATGAAACAGCACTTTGTCTATTCATTCCTATTAATAAAGAAAAACATAATTCTGTAGAATCTTCCACCTTAGCTTTTAGGGATTAGCTTTAAAGGGCTGTGTGACTTTTGCTGCATTCAGCCTTTAGGCCAGCCTAATGGCAGTTCTGTCATCACGGTTGAATGAGCAACAAGTCTCATATTTCAAAGAAAACCAACTAAGCTAGTTTTGACAGCAGATACCTATTTACCACAACCAGTTACAACCTTTGCTCTCAATAGCTGTCATCGACAATGTAGTTTTGAGCATATCATAACCATAACAATATGCACCAAAGTCATATGTCCTGCAAACAAAAATCTGTATTAATCTTTACCCAACTATCTGATTAGCTAAATAATGGTAATGGGAGAAAAGATGCCAGATATTCATTCGTTGTATGTCAATTTTCCTGATCTTATTTCTTCTTCTAAATGTTATGTCGCTCTATGTGTAGGGATTAACTGTCAGATAACTTTCTAAAGCAAAGTTGATTGTAAACAAAGGCACAACAAAGCATAGTTTTCATACTCTCATAATTAATGGCATAAAATTGGTTCAAAATTCGTATTTGTGAATTTGAATACAACTTGAAACTATTTTCATAGAAATATGCAACTGTACATTTACTATAAATATAAGACTCACCAAAATCGACCCAATCTAGGAAGTTTGGGTAATAAAAGCGACATAGCTGTTACATTGTCGAAGGTGAAATTAGTTTCCAAACTAAAATAACACAGGTACTTCAAGGAAAACTGAAATTTAGCATTACTAGATAAAAACTGCAACATAAATATTTGACTTTCATCTAATATCACTTGGAATCAATAACATTGTTTGAATTATTTTTGTGGCATCTAGCACAAGAGATGAGACACGAGAGATTATGTCTATAGGGAAAAGAAAACAAGACGACCTCCGTAAATGAATAAAAACTGTCACATCATTCTGATTAAGATCCAAATTAGTGTTGTAAAATCATTTGCAGGACACAGTGCATACATCTGTCTCTCTCATTCCGTTCTATTTCTCATCCCAAATTAAAACAATGTTCAAAAACATGCCATCTTAAGCATCTTACCATATCTGTGGTCTTCAAGTTTAAGAATATTAAAATATTTTTTGTCTGGACGATCTTCAGTCAATGGCTCAATTAGATGCGAGAAGGGGTGTTCTAGAATTAACAAAAAAATTAAGTACATGACAAGGAACTACAATTAGACAGCATAAACTATTTAACTTTAAGCAGATGGATTTATTTAAACTATTTATGCATCATTGGTCGAGCGCTGACGAATGCTTAGCTAAAGTTTAAAAGTGATGTAACATCAACATTCTAGAACTGCACAGTAAGCATTGAACTTCAGTATTTGGTGACGTGATAAGGACCACACAAAACCAAGCAAACCGATATAAATACTTAGCTAAATCCAGAACAGGAGGGAAAATGTCATATTGGTGTAGTAACCACAAATAACATGTTTATTGGACCTCTCTTTCTTTCTACAACAACAACAAAATTACATTTATAGAGCATCTTTTACGTCGGGAGGACATCCCAAGGCGCTGGACAGTCAGGGATCAGGACCCGAGCATGGGGGAGGGGTGGGGGAGGGGTGAGGGAAGTCAGAGAGGTGGAAGGGCGACTGAAGCCACGATCGAAGAGAAGGGTCTTGAGACCGACCTTGAAGGATGCAAGGGAGGAAGCGAGGCGAAGGGACTGTAGGATGGAGTTCCAGAGTGTGGGGGCAGAGAGGCTGAAAGCCCGGCCACCGATGGTAAGACAGAAGACATGGAGCAGGCCGGAGCCCGCTGAATGGAGGGAGCGGGCAGGTTGGTAGGGAGTCAGCAGGTCAGAGGGGTAGGAGGGGGCAAGGTCATGGATGGCCTTGAGAGTGAGGATGAGGATCTTGAATTTGATCCTCTGTGGGATGGGGAGTCAGTGGAGTTGGGCGAGGGTGGGAGTGGTGGGGTCATGGAGCCTGGTGCACGAGAGTACACCAGCTGCAGGGTTTTGGATGATCTGCAGCGTGTGAAGGGAAGTGTTGGGAAGGCCGAAGAGGAGAGAGTTTCCCTAATCGAGCCTTGATGTGATGAATGTGTGGGTGAGGGTTTCAGCAGCCTGAGCAGTGGCGTTGTCTGGCAATATTGAGAGATGGTGGTAGGCAATGCCAGTCATGGCGCGGATGGTGGTGGGGGAGGAAGAAAGGACACTTTAGGGTCAAACAAGACACCCAGGTTCCTGACTGGCTTAGTGAGACTGAGTGTGCAGCCGTGCAGGCTGATGGTGCCAGCGCCCGAGATGCGGAGGCACTGGTGAGAGCCATTCAGGAGGGCCTCGGTCTTGCTGATGTTCAGTTGGAGAAAGCTGTCCCTCCTCCAGGACTTGATGTCAGACAGGCAGTCGGTCAGGACACCAGTAGTCCTGGAGTTGAGGGTGGAGGCAGAGAGATAGAGTTGGGTGTCATCCGCATACATGTGGAAATTTACCTGTTCTAACCTGTTTTCGTACTTAGTCTAGTTTTATTTCTTCACACTTAGAAAATGTGTATGATTATTATTAAGCATAGACGATAAAAGCCAAATTGCAGGCAATAAAATGCAAGGGAGGTGTCAAATATACTCCTCGTCACTTATCAGCTAATTAGCTTGAATACGCGGCAATGCTTCTGATAAATAGCTCTAGAAAATTTGACACCAATTTGAAGTTTTACAGACCACACCCTTTATCAATGGAGCCAGAATTTCACACAACAGAACTGCACTGGACAGATATAGTATCAGTAACACAAAATTGTGATGCTCTCTACAGTTAACCAGCCTGACACACACCATCTCGATTCAGCTAAAGAATCTTTATTTGCGTGAGATGCAAGAGGATCACCAGGACACATGCTCTAACAAATGCATTCAAGCAAATGAGAGGGTTAGAGGGAATAGCAGAAAAAATGTTTGTTAGAAATATCTACTTGACAAGACAAGGTGCTTATTTTCAAAATAAGAAATCAGTTTGACCAACAACGTTTAGACCCTTCAAAGCCCATGGGCTTGCTGGGGTATGCTGAAGACAGATGAATGGAATAAAGTAGAGGAGGGAAAATATTAGCTGGGATTCCTGCATCTGATCCCCATCTAGCAAACGCTGCTAGAAAAGTTGTGTGGACTTCAGCTTTAAGTAAAATCAACTGTCTCAGTATTTTGCCCCATTTCTGAGATCTCTACGTGTCCAATAGAACTGGTGTTACCTATGGCCATATAGACCTTGGAATTTACATAAATGGTACAAATGAACGTAATGTTCCAAGACATTTAATAATAATCCTTGCATTTGATATAGTGCCTTATCATGGCGTTGAGATGCCTCAAACGCTTCAGAATATACCGTAAAGTGAATTGATTATATTTTGTGGGCAAAATAATTTTGTGGGCAAAATTTTTTGCTACATGATACAGAAATCCTTTTCTTTTCCAGGCTAACTATTTTTTCTTGGAACAATCTACAATGTACAAGGACACATTTCATGTTAGAAGTAAACTTCAGCAAGTCAAATGAGTCTATGCTAGAGATTTTCAATTCTGGAAAATGCATTCAGCATCAAGCATTAAGCATGTCAGAGCTACTTATAGCACTTGTTAGGTGCAAAGTCAAGCTTTGCCAATTCACCACAACATACATTTATCTCAATCCCAGAATAGCAGTGAATAACTATTGTCCTGATGACTATTGCCCAGCTGCTTGACTCAAATAACATGAGCTACAAGTCTTACTTATCCACTCTACCAAAGCGTCAACTTGGCACAATTGAGGACCTGCTCACCCCTGACATTTAAAAACCAACAGCACAACAGAGAGAGATTATCCCAGGTCCTAGTTATCCCAGGTAACCAACAATCCTCCAGATAAATTGCTTATCCAATTGTCCATAGGACATTGCTTCGTGTAAATTGGCTATAAATACAGTGACTAGCATTAATGAAAGCAAAGCACTTTGAGACATTATCAGTGTTATATCAAATGGAAGTATTATAATAAACATTTTCTGAATGTCACCACTCCCTCAACACTGTAGCAATCCCTCAACACTGCACAAGAGTGCATTCATCCAACTTTACAGCAATTACTTGCAGAGCATTTTGAGCTGTTGGCAATAATAATTCTTGCATTTGATATAGCACCTTATCACGTCTTCAACACGTCTCAAAGCACTTCACAGGATATACTGTAAAGTGGATTGATTGTGTATTTTGAGGGCAAAAATATAAAAATACTGAATGCAAGGTTTCAGAAATAGTTGATGAACTGTCAACTACATCATTTTGCAACAGGAAACAGGAATCATTTTTGTACAATAAATGTTCCTGAAGTGGGTAACCTGTGAGAAAGGGTAACTTGGGAGAAATAAATCGGACCAACAACAGCAACAAGAGTGCATTTGCCTTAGCGCCTTTCACGTCGGGAGGACGTCCCACCACCCATCATGATATTTGAAGTTTCACATTGTTTTACACCTTTCCAGATGAGTGCACAAGTGGGTATAAACATTTTGTGAAAACATCTGATCAAGTGCCAGTCACACTCGTCGGGAGATGCGGTTAATGTATAACTGCAGAGTCGCTCGGCGACACTGGAAAAAATGTTGGCTCGAAACTCAGATGCAAAAAAAATAAATAAATATGAATCATACGGTAAAACAGTGCAGAACCCTCTGGGTTATCAGCATTCACATGACAGCCGCTATCAGACAGGTTAAAAAAAACACACAAAAACAAAAAAAACGCCCCACACGATTGCATAAGACGCAATTTTATTTTCGTTATCCTCGTGTGTTGGTTTGTTGGTTGGTTTCGTTTGTTTGGTTTGGTTTGGTTTAAAAAAAAAGTCGAGGCTTTTACCTTTCAATCCCAAATGTGTAAATCAAGACTTGCATCCCGAGGCGGCTTTTTATGTTTCTATTTTGCATTTTATATCTGTACCGTTTAAGGTGTAATTAAGCGCGAGGCAAAAAGACCCTCTGGTTTTTTTTTTACATTTTGATTTTAAAAAAAAGTTAAGCGAAAGGATCGTCGGTTTGAAAGTAAACAACGATCGCAGTGGACGGTGAGGAGAGAGGAGGGGAGAGGAGGGGAGGGGAGGCTGCACGGTCCGGGGCCACAGTACACTCAGTGTCACTGTCCTTCACCGCCCCCCTCCCCCCTCACCTGGTGCCTGTGCTGTTTAAAGCCCGGCCTCACAACAACAACAACAGCAGCAGCACCACCACCACCACCAACCGCCGCCTCGGCTCCACAGTGAGTCAGCGACTCGAGTCCCGGACACCGGGATAAACACGATTTACCCCCTCCCCCTCACTCACCCCGTAACCCAACCCAACCCAACCGCGCCGCCGGGTGTTGGTGTTCACGCTCACCCAAGGCCCTGACTTCACTCGGGTCGAGTCGGGGTAAAGACTCGAGCCCGTTCTCGCTTACCTGTGGGCCCCTCCGCCATCGCTGCGTCTCAGGGAAGCACGGACGCTCCCCAGGCCACGCCCACCTCCACCCCACCGGCCCGCCCTCGCCGCAACGCGCCATCTCATTGGACGCCGGCGCTGGCCAATCGCTGCGCATGTTGCTCACGGTCGCCGCCGCCGCCGCCGTCTTCGGCGGGAGAAGCTGATTCCACCTCCTGACCGAAGGCCCCCCCCCCGCCCGTTTAAAGTGGCTGCGAGCGGGACTCTTCGTTGAATAATCGTGTTGTTGTTGTTTTTCAAACTGTATATGGAGCAGGAGGGGAGGGGGTTTGAGGCAAATTGTCTCCTTTTAAAGGTATAGAGTAAGTTTAACCTTTGACCCGCGGGGGCGCCGATGCAGCGGGAAGGGGGACTCGCTCGCGTGGCGGATCCGGCGGCGATTTTGACGGTTGTTGGTTTTGATCGATTTGTGGGGAAAGGGGGCGGAGAGAGGGGGGGGGCGGAGAGAGGGGGGGCGGAGAGAGGGGGGGGGGCAGGCGGAAGGGGTGGGCGGGGCAGAAGGACGAGGTGGGGGGGGCAGGCGGAAGGGGTGGGGCGGGCAGGCGAAGGTTTGGGGGGGCAGGAGGAAGGGGTGGGGGGGGCAGGAGGAACGGTTTGGGGTGGTAGGAGGAAGGGGGGGGTAGGAGGAAGGGGGGGGATAGGAGGAAGGGGGGGGTGGGATAGGAGGAAGGGGGGGGAGAAAGGGGTGGGTGGGGATAGGAGGAAGGGTGGGGGGGGGCAGGCGGAACGGTTTGGGGTGGTAGGAGGAAGGGGTGGGGTGGGCAGGAGGAGGTTGGAGGAGGCGCTCAAACCATCAAGGACCCTCTTGACATTTGTGGCGCTCGCTGATCGCCCGCTGGGTTACTGCAGCGCACACCACAGGGCTCTTTGAGTCCAAACCGTACAAAAATCCCTGATCAATCAGTGTTCATTGAGATCTTGCAGCAGGCGAGTTGCCGTGCGATTTTTTGAAGAGAAGGAGGTCATTGATGTATGCAAGGTTCATGTTCGAAAAGTTATCTGGATTCCATTGGCCGAATGAGAGCGCTGCTGCTGCATTATATATTATGCATTACAATAATTCTTGCATTTGATGTAGTGCCTTATCGTGACTTGGAGATGTCTCAAAGAGCTTAACCGAATATACTGTAAAGTGAATTGACTATATTTTGTGGGCGAAACGTGGCAGCCAATTGCGCACAGCAGTGTCCCACAAACAGTTGTGGATTGAGTGACCAATTTTTTTTAAAAGGAATTTATTAACCCTGGAAAAACGATCTGCCAATTGACTAATAACCAGGTTCCTACTTATGCCTTTTGGTGGTGGTGGTGATGACAGTGACATTGGAGACATTTTACATTGATCTTTTATTTGTAGCAATGTCTGTTTTACGCAATTTTCTCTGGGAAATTGCCCCCAAATAGACAAGGCACCAGAAACTATTGTTTTTGTCCTGTTCTGTGGAAGTATCAGTCATTAATGTTTATTTTCAAATTTGAATTCAAGAAAATTATCTGAAATATATGAATAGTAGTAACCTGAAGAAATGTTCTAAATAGAAATACGAATACAATTTTACATTTATATAGTGACTTTCATGTTGTAAGGACATTTCAAGGCACTTAACAATACTGACATAGCACAGCACCCAAGCTGGGGATAAGAACCGAGGGGGTGGGAAGGGGAAGATGACCAAAAGTGCAATCAAAATGGGAGGTCTTGAGGTGGATGTTATATGAGGTAAGAGAGGGAGCGAGTTGGAGTTGATGTTGCAGTTTTTGGTGCAGTTTTTTCAGCAAGAAACTTGCAGTTTTTTGTGAGTGTCTATCCCATTAAACTAACCTGTTTATGCTTATGCTTCACCCCCTAGCTACACAATCAACAAAGTTGGCATGTCATTTGGAGAAAATGTTACCTATTTAAATTTGTCCACTTCTGTTTAAGAAAATAAAGGAAATTCATTCCCTGCTTTGTTAATTGTTTTTAAAACTTGGAGACTCCCAATAAAGGGATAGGATTTTGTGTTATTCCATTTATGAATTCATTTATACATTATGTCGGTAGTACTTTCATTTCTTGGTCAGAATTGTGAGTTCAAGCCTCATTTTGGGACTTGGAGAAGGGCTGCATACAGTGGCACCGTCCTTCAGATGAGACATTAAACCAAAGTCCTGTCTGCCGGTTCAACTGGACATTAAAGATTACATAACACTATTTGGAAAGAGGACAGAGTTTCTCTCGGTGTACTGATCAACTATTTTCTAGATAAAATTGGTCATTACTCCATGGCAATATATGTTTCTGTGCAAATAGGCTGGTGCTTTTGCCTACAGATGCAGTCAGCACACCTTTACCGAAATATGGTGAAACCCTTTGAGCCATTCTTCACATTATAGGTGCTGTATCCAATGAATTTTTTTTTTAACTATTCGTTAAGGGTGCTATACTTTGTGGATGTTGACATAAATGAGTGTGAAGTTCTTGCTGGAAATGCAGTGCCTTTTATAAGTCCAATAATAATAATAATAATCCTTGCATTTGATATAGCGCTTTTCACGTCTTCTAGACGTCTCAAAACGCTTCACAGAATATGTTGTAAAGTGAATTGACCGTATATTTGTGGGCGAAACGTAACAGCCAATTGTGCACAGCAGTGTCCCACCAACAGTCGTGGATTGAAATTGACCAATTTATTATTGTTCTGTTTTTTGGACAGATTATTATCAGGCGTAATGTGGAGTAGGAAATGTCCAAATCTCAATGAGCCTTAACTTCCTTTAACCAAATGCCAGGAAAACTGAAACAAACCATTCTGTTTGGTTCTTGCGAACACCTCCGCTCCTCCAGTTTTCACTATTATTAAACTGAATTTACCCGTTGCAAAGCAGTGGATCGAGTATCCTTGATCTTGTTATGGATCACAAAATTGTGTACCAGGGACATGACATTTCTGTTTCTATTTCATGTTATCCTAATAACAATAAGGTGAAGATAAGCTAGAACAACTTGTTCTCTTATGTGGGTGATACAAAAGGACAGTCCTCAATGTTTCCAGGAATTGATTCCTTAGACCTCTGGATATTTTACTATTGCCTCAAAAGTCTCTGCACTAAAGGAAAAGTAATGGAGGGAATAAATTCAACATAAAGCATTCAGGTTTTTCTGTTTTAAATAACATTTTAAAAATGCACTTCTGACTTGTAGGATACTTTTGCAGTTCTAATATTTTCCTATAAGGAGATCAACTTGATAAATGTGAGTCAGCATTAATTGCTTTCCTTAGACAATAAGGGGGAGAATTGGAAGGGAAGGGAAGAGCAAGTTTCTGTCATCAGATGTTACTAAGCTATTTCATGCTCAGTACTTAAAAGACTAACACACTATACTGAAAGTTGAAAACAGGTACTGCAGAAATCTTAAAGGGAATAAAAAAGTAAATGAGCAAAGGTATTTTTTGAAGCTGAATTCTCTTTGTGCCCTTTTGCAGATTGCTGTGGACTTCAGAAGGAACAGTGGCCAAATATGCAAGAGAAACGAAAGATTCAGATAATAGAATGGGAAGACCTGGACAAGCGGAAGTTTTACTCCTTTGGTGTTTTAATGTCTCTGACAGTCAGAGCCACAGTGTACCCAGCTACACTTATTAGAACAAGACTGCAGGTGCAGAAAGGGAATAGTCTTTACCGCGGCACTTTTGATGCATTCTTTAAAATCCTCCGAACCGAGGGAATACGTGGACTTTACAGAGGGTTTCTTGTTAATTTGTTCACACTTGTCTCTGGTCAAGGATACATTACAACCTATGAACTTGTGCGCAATTATGTATCCAGGTACACCAACAATAATGCCATCAAGTCCCTTGCAGCTGGAAGTTTAGCATCTCTCGTGGCACAGACTATTACAGTACCTATCGATGTAATTTCTCAACATCTAATGATCATGGGTCAAGGAGAAAATGTTGGCAGGTTTAAGCCCAGATCAAAGACATCTGTGACTTTTGGTCAATCGCAGGAAATTATCATTCAGATTTTCAGGTCCGATGGCCTGAGAGGTTTTTATAGAGGATACATTGCTTCATTATTGACATATATTCCTAACAGTGCATTGTGGTGGCCTTTTTATCATTTCTACGCAGGTAGGTAATGGTAAGATTTCTCTGCTCTTTAATAGTTTAAAGAGTTGGGTTAATAATTTACTCTAAAATTGTTTTTCAGAATTTGTTTGGGAATTTGCTTATTGTTTGCCGCAAAGGGAAATTAGCTTGAGAGGTGCCAGGTTCAGTATCCATTTGTGCCAAGTTACTCACGTGTTACAGTCGACTTCTTAGGAAGGGAAATCGGTCATGTTTCTTGCTGCACTGACGCCTGCTGGAGAGTGCTCTTGTTTGGATTGATGATGGGTGACCTATCGGATCAAATGTGCTCCTGCAGTTAAAAAAAACCTGCCAACATTTGTTGTGAAAGGTAACACATAAATAATATATTGCCCCTTGGGTGAGGTATAAGGTGATTGGTACCTAGAGAATGGTATCTGAGGTGAATCCATACTTTCAGGAGAAGAGGGATGAAGAATATTGATGGAAACAAAATTAAATTGTGTTTCTGGCATGCCTTCCAATGGCTGAATAGGTGCTAGCTGTGTCTTTTTCTTCCACATATAATGGACCACGTGACTTTGTTTTATAAATTCTGAGGATGCGTAATATCTTTCCCCATGATGTTAAGTAAATAACAGGAGTAGAAGCAAGAAAGATAGGTCAGGAGCAAAGTTTCCTGATATTCAGATGTAGTTATCAGACTACACTGCCATTATTTAGGCTGTGGCCGAGAACAAAACATATCAAAGCATTCAGCATAATGTATGACATAACATTAAGATTTCAGCACTCTGGATTTTTACACAAAAAGGCTAGGACAGCACATTGAGCTGTCAGTGCTCAATGTCAGTAGGGCCACTCATTGTACAGCTAGTATAAAAGACTTCTCCATTTGGAGTCCTGTAGCTCAGTGGTTAGAGCACTCGCTTTGCAAGTGAGAGACCTGAGTTCAATTCCAGACAGGGCGAAACCTTGGGCAAGTTTCCTTACTCCACACAGAGCCTAATAATAATCCCTCCAAAAAAACAAAACAATAATAAATTGGTCATTTTCAATCCATATGACTGTTTGTGGGACATTGCTGTGCGCAATTGGCTGCCGCGTTCGCCCACAAATATACAGTCAATTCACTTTACAGTGTGTTCTGTGAAGTGCTTTGGGACGTCCTCCCGACGTGAAAAGCGCTATATCAAATGCAAGGATTATTATTACAGTTCAGATGAGGCTAACATTAAAAGTATGACCCAGTTTTTGGTTCAGATAATGTTTGGCTCGTGAATAGTTCCTTTACTTTTTTTTATTTTTTCCAGTCCTGAACTGTTTTAAGAACAATTTTTTTTAGAAAAGTGATTTGCCTGCCTATAACTGTAGTAGATGAATTGAAGTGTTTTCTAATTGCCCATGTCTAATCTTTGTTTTTTTTGTTTGAATCACAGAGCAGCTGTCAAATTTAGCGCCCAGTAACTGCCCTCACCTAATCCTGCAGGCAGTGGCTGGGCCACTGGCCGCAGCCACGGCCGCTACAGTTACCAACCCCATGGATGTGGTCAGAGCTAGGGTTCAGGTGAGGATACTCTGAAATTACTAAAGCCCACCTGGACAAGCGTGCCATTTTTCTAATGTAAAAGTTGTGTTTGTGCTGCATAAAGGGTAACTAGTTTCATCGACAAGGTGCAAATTTTCTTGCAGCCATGACAATTGTGTTAAGTTTCTTCTCATTCTAAGTAAGTTCTCTTCTCCCTCTCTCCGAAGAATCCTAAGAAAAGGGTTTATTTAAAGATTTCAGCGATGAAATGCTATGGCACATGATTATTGTACTTTGCAGTGGACTCCTATTTCAACTAATATATTTAGACTTTAAACCCTTGATGTTACCAATTGGTAGCAGTGAGTTTGGTTACCACCTTCCTCATGGCACGAGGCAGGGCGTTTAAGAAGATACAGTGTTTAGAGAAGGTGGAGATATCAAGATTGACTAATATTTACCTCACAACTTACACTGGTATTCTTGGACTAATTGGGTGTCTGATGATTATCACAGTGGGCTACAAATAACGCCAAAAGGATGAACGTCTGAACAAACAGTGGCGAAATTCAGATCGAGATTGAGAGACACGCCACTGAACATTGATTAGTCAACATTGCAAGACTGCTTTGAAGCTTCAAAGTTCAGTTACCAGACACCGTGGAGTAGGGATTACTAGAGAGGTTTGCATTTATTATGTGCCTTTAAATAGAGCATGCGTTGCAAGACAAGTACTGCTAAATTGTCAAATGTTTAGTACGCTTGTCAGCATTCGCTAGCTGGACCAGGATAATATTTTAAATCCACTCAAAATTATTGATTTAACTTGCGTTCAGCCTCTCTGAAGTGGTAACCTGAATAAAAATGAAGTTTCCAGCCCCCATCTCCGTTCATGTGGTGGGTGAGGGGAAACCAAGTGGCACATGATTCGATGAATAAGAATTGCATGTCAAAAATTTGATAAGGAAAACGTGGTCTTGGAAAGGAACCAGAAAACCAGGACACAAATGTTTGGCTTTAATCAATTAGGAGCAAACTGTAGGTCAAGTGGATTTTTCTGTTATTTTAATGATTCTATTAAAATGTTTAATTGTATTTCAGGTAGAAGGAAAGACCTCTTTGATTGAAACTTTCAAACAGCTTGTGGTTGAAGAAGGTACTTGGGGTATAACCAAGGGTCTATCAGCACGCATCATATCCTCAACCCCAACAACCCTGGCCTTGGTGATTGGTTATGAAACTCTGAAGAAAATCAGTCTGAAACCAGAGCTGATAGAGTATCGACACTGGTAGTGACTTAACATGGTACAAATGAGTCAATTCCATAAGGTGAAGTAAGCCTTTGCTGTAACCTCATTTGGGCAGGACGGCCTAAAATTTAAATTGTAATGATACAGGGACCTTTTATTGAAACTCAAACAGATGATCTATATACATGTGAACTTACAATTTTTGAAAATATTTGTCATTCCCAATTCAACTTAATTGACAATTTCACATTCTGCAGCCAGATTATCATAGTGTGTTACATCTTACACGATAAGTGATTCAAATCATTGTGAACAACAGTAGTGTATTGTTAAGAAAGTATTATATAATTACTTGCTCTTCATGAGTATGAATACATATTTATTCTGATGGGTGTTAATGCTCAAGGGAGAATAAAGTGATTGTAAAATTCTTTAAATCTTCTATTTTTATTATGTGTGCATGTGTTCTTCAAATACACTATAATTACAGGGTATGTTCTTGCCCAGTGTGAAGTGAAATAAATGGGTAGATCAAAATCTCATGATTTAACATGGCACATTCCTGCTATTTGCTATGGTTGGATAGAACGTTCTGTAAACTGAATAAAAAGTCATCTTGTGATATTGTGAAGTTGGGCATTTTTAATTTTCATAGCGTATGGCATCATCTCAACCATTCCTTATATAATGAACATGCAATACGTCCGGCATTTGAGTTCTAATGAATTACAGATGCCTACATTTAATACTATAAGCTTGTAATGTAGGATCGAGCACTAGGATCTCAGCAAGTGATGTTTACATAGGAATGTGCAGCCCTGGAAAGGACCATTGTGATTGAGTGGCTGGAACAAAGTTTGAAACGTACGTTTGAAACTCTTATGCTTCTTTAGTCTGTAGAATGTCCCTAGAAATTCAAAACGAGAAGGGAGTTTTTCGGTGTCCTGGCCAATAATCCCCAGGTTTTTTTTTAAAAAAAAAGGTAATTCACAGCACAGTTGTTTGCTATGCACAAACTGACTGGTGTGTTCCCCTACAAATACACAGAAAACCGTGAAGCACTTTGGCATATTTCAATATGATAATCGAATACAAAGTTATTCTGAATACATGGAATACATGAGCACTAGAGGGCACTGTTGCTAAAACCATAGGATTTTTTTTCACAGGAAGCAAAATACTGTGTGCTATTTAAACATAGGCCCTTAGATGGGTTTGTCACTATTTCAGAGAAGGAAAGAGCCCAGAAGATCTCAGCTGAACTATTGAGAAATGTCCAACAAGCAGCAAAGTGATTTTTTATTAATATAAAGTAACGGGTCTGAAGTGTATTACCCTGAACTGTAGGAACTTCAGTCAGAAAATAGGAAGGAGCAGTGTTCCTGCAGGCTGGTATGACCGACATCTGCTTTCCTTATTCAGGAATCATTTTAAAAAAGCATTAAGCAAAGGGTATGATACCATTGTAGGAAATGGAGGAGGCCAGTCAGCTCGAGCCTGTTCCACCATTCATGGCTGATTTGTACCTCAACTCAAATCACTGAACTCAAAAGGTTCATCTGGTTGGTTCAAAGTTAATTCATTTTCAAAATTCTTTGACCATATTTTTGGTCACCTTTCCCCTCCCCACCCAGCTCCCAAGGAGCTCATCCAGCATGTTAAGTTGCCTCCCGTATAAAAGTTATGCTCCCATTCAGTGTTTTTGACTGTTCCCATCTTAAAATTAGAAGTTGTTTTTGTAATGTTAAAATGGGAAAGTCAAGAGTGAGTGAAAAGAACATTGGAAATATCATGTATCTTGTGCATACACATGCTGCATCCTGGTGGACCAACCTTTATTTGTAACACAACTTAGTACAGTAGGGTGACTTGGGGATGAGTCTATGATGCGGTACCTGCACACCGTGCCACTGTGTGGTAAGTCACAGGTTTGCACTGGCAATTTTCAATGCGCTTACAATCTCATCTGTCCATTAGGGGGAAGCGCTGAGAAGAAGCTCCTCCTTGGCCAGAGGGTGAAATGGGAGATACAAAAATCAGGGTTCATGTTGGAATAACACTTCATTTCTTTTCACAGTTTTGTTGTTGTTATAATAATATTAGGGTTTGATTAAGGAGCCTAGTGGGCAAGGGTGCTATTTGCCTCTTAACCTCTCTGAGATGCTACCCAAGTGAAGAGCACAATATAGATGCAAGTTGTTGTGGCTGATTAAGTCTGCATGTGTTTCTGCCTCTCTACTTACCTGGTGATGTGTTGTTCTGCCTTTACCCTCTTATGTGCATTCTTATTCAGCCTTTCAGCATCATGGGACGTCCTCCTGACGTGAAAGGCGCTATACAAATGTAATCGTGTTGTTGTTCATCCCATCTTATTCCCTGTTTTTTCTCTTCCTGATTAAATCCGATCTCCTTTCTTCCCTGTATTCCTCACCTTTGCCTGTTTTATCTCACTGGTTGACTGCATAATTGTTTTCTTTCTCTTTACTCATTGGTTTGACTTCTTCCTTGCTGTGGCAGTGTATACTTACCTCCCTGTGCACAATTCATTACTTACTGAACTTCTTTACGATTGCCTGACATGCAAACTGTTTTCCTAACTTGTTTGCTTGTTTCCCTCTCTTATCTGATTGTTTGGCCACTTATTTGCTAGCCTCACTGTTTTACTTGCCTGGCTTGCTTTATTCTCTCCCTGTTTGTCTCTGCTTGAATTTTTTCCTACTTATCTTCTTATCTAGATTTTTCGCTGCCTGCTTGCTAGCGTCATTTGGTTCAGGCCTATATGTATTTCTGTGTACTGTGAATATAGACACAACTCAGTAATAACAGAAAATATGAAATTATAATAGAAACTCATGGTTGGGTGGGGGCAGTTAAGGTGGCCCCTCTGCCCAGTTTGTTTTGTTTGGCAAATATCTGAATTAACAGATAGTTTTAGGAAACAGCAAAGTAGCTGAGAATAAGGAGTTTGTGCCTCCAGGCAGAGTAACTCCTAAAAGCAAACATCTGAAAATGAACAGGAGCTGAATCTACCTGTAACGATGACCACTGATTGAAGGCTGCTGTGTATCAATTTCCCAATTCTTCCTGATAAAACGTTAGGAGAAAGGTTTCAGAAAACAAGGATGGGATAGGGGTGCACACATCTGTCATTCACAAGGATATATCCTGTGTTTCGGGGGAGTCGTCTCCAGGATTCTGCCACGCAAGACATAGTAAAAGGAGCCACAGGTTCTGCTTTTCTCGACAGTTCAATGGTTTAATCCATTATTTGGCATGAAATAAACTGCTGTCAACTGCTAGCAAGAGCCAACATTTTAATCGTTATAATTTTAACCCGAGGCACAAAATGTGGACAAAATTCAGCCGAGCTGATTTCATAATGATTTTCCTAGTTAACTTGTAAAACAATTCATAAAAGATGAAGAACACTAGCACATTGTTAATTTGAATTTGAGACTGGTATAATCCAAATGTTTCCATTTATGACATGGAGGTGGATTGACCTTGCATAGGATATGTCTGCTGTACATGAACAAATCTGTAAAGACAGGTAAGATTGTTTCCCTGTATTCAGACGAACTGTGACCCAATTTTGCCACGTTGATAAGGCAAATGATGAGAGTTGTCCTGACAGATCCATATGTGGCAATTTCCTACCAGTAAAGTTAATGAGGGAGTTCAAAAGGCTTGCACACAAGACAATGAAATTAAAAGGGTTCTGCATGGTTAGATGATGAGACTATGTCCCTGCTTCTTTCACACAGTATAGGGTCTTCATAATTTGTTCATCTGTTACATGTTGTGACAATTCACTCAATAACTCAAACTAATGGTGATTCAAGCATAAAGTTCATCCAGGGGTTATAGCAGGTGCTGCCATTGCTAAAATGGCAATTTAAAATTAAGTAAACTGCATTCTTATGAATGGAATATTAGATCTTTTATTTTGTGGTGCAGCACAAGAATCAAGCTGCTTTAATGAAGGCATCTCACTGGCTCTTTGATTTAACAATAGTACAGGCACCACTGCGTCTTATCACGTCATTGAGATGTCTCAAAGCGCTTCACAGAATAAACTATAAAGTGAATTGACTATGTATTTTGGGGCGAAATGAGGCAGCCAATTTCACACAGCAGTATCCCACAAACAATCTTGGATTGAGTGACCAAGTTATTATTATTTATTTATTTTGTTTTTGAAGGAGTTAGTACTCCCAGAAAGTGATCCACCAATTATCTAACAACCGGGTTCCTACTTATCAACGGATACAGCAATGGGAATTTAATTAATGGGAATTTAACTTAATATTGTTCTTTAGTAATTACAAAAAATGTTTTTATTGTATGCAATAATTGTAAACGTCTAAGACATATTAATCATTTACCATTAACTTTGAAGAAACTGGAATTCTACATTTGCAAGATTTGAAACTTCAGTCTTGTTCATAAAACTAACAGATCAGCATTGTTCATTCATAAGTGTTTATTAAATCACTGAAATCACGGGTGAATTCATCATTAAATTAACAGGCCATTGCGCTAATATGCAACAATCACCTCAAAGCTATTGAAGAAAATCAGTCAGGGGCAACTTATTCACTCATAATGTATCGGGGTCAAAAGTAGATTAAGCCATGGCTGCAGTTTGCAGCCTGTGGTGTCAAATTGTTTTTCTGAGCACAAATGATGAAAGACTAAATCAGTAAATAGTTGACAAGTTGCAACTGAGTTAAAAAAATACTTTCTTCTGTTCAAAACCTTTGTTTCACGGGAATTTTCACCCCGAGTCTTCAGTGCTATGGTGATCCAGTTTAGACAGCATAATGCTTTTTTAGAGTGCAGAGAAATCCTTTCTATGAACAAGTGCCATAGTTTGAGAAGTTACTGTTTAAAAACAAATAGATATCTTCCTAAATAGCAGTATTAAAACATAAGAAAGTTAAGAAAGATTTGGTAAGCAAAAGATGTATTTTTTCTCCTCATCCACTTTCTTGGATCTCTGCATTCTATACAGACACCATTCTCTATTTCCTCATGCTTAATGCCATCCTTCTGTCTCCTTGCTGTCCACTATCCTTTTGTTGTAAAAACACTGTACTTCAATCGCTCCCAAAGAACCACAGAAAACTGCCATTCTGGCCATTATATTAATCTTGGTATTTATTCCTCCAATGAAGCATCTATCCTAATCCCCATGCCCTCAATAATTCTTCCCCCACATATGTGCCTATCCAATTCGTTTTCAAATGTCACAATTGAGTCTACTGTAACAGCTACCTCATTCATTCTATACTCTTTTCCCTTAGCTTCCCCCTTCATGATCCTAATTATAATCATAAATGTGTGCCCTATTGTCCTCAATTCACTTACAGGCAGAAGTTGTTACTTATTATTTATCCCCTCAAATCCTATCATTATCTTATACACCTTTATATAATGCCACCCCTCAAATTTCTTTGCTCAATGGAAGTTGCTCAAGTTTGCTCAACTTTTCCAACCTCTCCTCAGCCCTCACCTTCGGTATCATTCATAAATCTACCCGCTCCATCGCTTTAATATAATTTCCATGCTACAGTGCCCAATGCTGGGTACAGAATTCTAGCAGCTGCCTAACCAACATTT